GTTTCAAATGGTAAATTAATATTTGATGTTACTATTTCTTATTTAAATCTTCCATTAAGAAGCATTATTTATTTTATCTCTAAGATCGTAAGCATTTACTTACCTCTGTGTATTTTTTAGGATGTGCCACTGATATATATGAAAGAAAGAGATACATATACAGAATATGTGATAATCAAATGTAGAGTGATAATTTTCAGTATCCTTACTAGACACTTACCTAAACTTTTTATACTTTTCTCTGCCCTTAGACAATTAATAAAAACCTTCCTTTAGTAACATCCACATCACTTAAGCACATTTTTTTGTTCTACACCTCATCGTTTACAGCTTCTCACAATTTTTTTTACTGCTTAGTTAAGGTTTATTCAATTCTGGCGCTGTTCATATTTCATTAACTTTGTTAATATAACAACAAAATTCTTTCACTGGAAAGCATTGTATAGAAAAAAAAAAGAAAGTTTGGACATAAGGGAGGTAACTCGGCCATATCATTTTTTTTTTTTTCAAATTTTGTACTGGTCATTTGGTTGAAAGAAAGACATTTTAAGCTTGGTTCAGAATTTGGTTATGAGACAAGCTTCTCTGTTTACAAACCGACACCAGTTTTTTTTTCCTTTTTCTTTTTTTCTTATAAGAATTCTTCACTGACTTGCTAATTATGATTATCATGGAGTATTTCTGTGATGAAGTTGCCCAATCCTTCTGTTCCAGCTTCGGCTGAGTTGAAAAGCATTTTGGGTGATGAATTGTTTTCTACCTCTCAATCCCTATCCCACAGACATTGTTAGCCTCTCGCTACACTAATGTTATTTTCACAGCAGATGTTCAAACAGACTACATTATTTGGTTCCACCAGTTCAGACACAGCCTGGACTCGCCAAGCCATATACACTGTGTTGATTAATACTCATTCCCTTCAGGAGTAAATTCCACTCAGACAGCTTTTTCCTTAGCTTGTTGCAATGTGGAATGGACTCTGGAGGGGGATGGTTCCCTCATCACTACTATCTCATCTATTATCCTTCCTACATATCTTCATAATATGCAACATAATATGCTACATCCTCACACATTGATTCTTTACTATGAGTGGCATTTTGGACTCTTTACTATGAGTGGCACTTTGGACTCTTTAATATGAGTGGCAATTAGGACTCTTTACTCTGAGTGGCATCTAAGACTCTTTAATATGAGCAATATCTAAGACTCTTTAATATGAGTGGCATCTAAGACTCTTTACTATGAGTGGCACTTCGAACTCTTTACTCTGAGTGGCATCTAAGACTCTTTACTATGAGTGGCACTTTGGGCTCTTTACTCTGAGTGCCATCTACGATTTTTTACTATGAGTGACATCTACGACTCTTTACTATGAGTAGCACTTTGAACTCTTTACTATGAGTGACATCTAAGACTCTTTACTATGAATGGCATTTTGGGCTCTTTACTATGAGTGGCACTTTGGACTCTTTACTATGAGTGGCACTTTGGACTCTTTACTATGAGTGGCACTTTGGACTCTTTACTATGAGTGGCACTTTGGACTCTTTACTATGAGTGGCACTTTGGACTCCTTACTACGAGTGACATCTAAGATTCTTTACTATGAATGGCACTTTGGACTCTTTACTCTGAGTGGCACTTTGGACTCATTACTATGAGTGGCATCTAAGTCTCTTTACTATGAGTAGCACTTTGGACTCTTTACTATGAGTGAAACTTTGGACTCTTTACTATGAATGGCATTTTGGGCTCTTTACTATGAGTGGCATCTAAGACTCTTTACTATGAGTGGCACTTTGGACTCTTTACTATGAGTGACATCTAAGACACTTTACTATGAGTAGCACTTTGGACTCTTTACTATGAGTGGCATCTAAGACTCTTTACTATGAGTGGCACTTTGGACTCTTTACTATGAGTGGCACTTTGGACTTGTATTGGGTGAACAATAGTGAAAAGAAAAGAAAAGAGAAAACTTGGCAAACATGGACAATGGACATGCCTGCAATAAGATGCTGTGTCAAAAGGATAGTTTTTCACATGACTGCTTTTTAAACTACCTTCACGTTTACTGTTTTAAAAACGATGATTAGAATTGAAATAAAAACTTACATTTGGTTTTGTTCTTGAGAATTTACAAGGCACATATTAAACACTTTTTACTAGATTGTATATTTACAAGAATAATTTAAAACATTATGATAACTAATACAATTAGAATGAATACAATGTAATTTTTATCATTTATCAATTTATAAAGAAATAAATGTGAAAATAATTTTTTATTCATAAATTTATAAACATTTTTTAAATTATTAAAATATGTGAACCAAAAATAAAGAAATCCTTATTATTTACCATTTTATGAAGTTTGAATCAATTGACAATTAACTGATGTTTTGCCAACCATTGCAATAAACAATATAATAAATAAATAGTGTAAATAAAGAATCTAGTAAATAAATAGTGTTTATTATACATTATTATTATACACACCTAATAAAAAACATTTTTGCACACACTTAATAAGCATTTTTTTGCAACTTACTAGGCTATTGTTCACCTTGGATTTTAAAAATTGTTAGTAAATGAAACACTTTAAAAATTTATACAAAGCTTAGTTTTTACATGAATTATGATGAAAAAAAAGTTCTGCCATCAGATTTTAGAAACTGTGTTTTAGACAGCATTATCCTAACAAGTTTTCTATTTGCCAAGCTTTTCTTTCTCTTTAATATTTTTTTTTAATTTCATTTTTTGACTCTCATTTCATGTTGCTTTCTGTTTTCTGCCTGCAGTGGAAGACATCTTCACCCCGTGCCCGAGGAGCCCGAAGAATTCTATGAATGAGGATAACATGAAATAAATAAGTGCCAACCACCACCAACACCACCACGTTTATTTCTCTCTTCAGCTCAAACAATCTTTTTTTTTTTTTTTTTTTTTTTCTTTCCATTTCTGGACTCACACTGGACATTCACCTCTGGACATTATTTTTTTATCTTGAAAAGAGATCTAGGTTAATTTTTTTGGTTACCCTCAGATTTCGACTTAACTAAAGAACTTTTTTTTTTTATCTTGAATACAAAAACATAAATAAAATAAAACCAATTAAAATTGGTTTTGGTAATATGGGTTCACTTACAGCTATAATTTTTTTTAAGTAAATAATATCAAGTGGCTTTAAATTTCATGCCTTAAGGAAAATAATCAATTATTGTTTTTCTTTTTTTTTTTTTTTAAAAGAAGGTAAGGTGACTTGTCCTACAGGTCATTTGTTTGGTTAAAATGTTGTGACCCACTTGTTTTCCTGGTTTCTTTTTAAAGACTATTGAAAATCTACTCTGACACCCTCCCACCCCTGCCATCCTACTCCATACATTGAATGAATTAAAAATAAAAATGGGTTCTCTTCAGAAATTTGTACTTTTTACAAGCATTATTATTTTGGGTTCCTAACCAATCACTTGTTTTAAGTTGTTAAAAATTTCTCAGATAAATAGCATTGTCATCTTTTATTAAGTTTTGGCTGATTTTTCTTGTTTTTTTTCCCTTTTTTGTTGCTTTTTATCTTATCATGACACTCAGGTGATTTTTGTACAGTCCTCTACCATTATCGATGACAGTGTTCACTTTCAGGGATGCCAAAATCTTCAAATGCTCAAATCCATCACACAAGAGGGCATTGAGAGGTTTTTGGTTGATCCAGTTCCCATAACCAAACATCAGAATATGGAGGCTGGGAAATGGGTCAGGTTGAGAACTTTTATGAGAAATCATTAAATATAACAAAAATGTATAGCGTTTGTATATAACTCTCTACCTTGAGTGGCTCCTGGAACTTGTAGAGGGTGAACATCATTGTTTAAAAAAAAAACAACCTATGCACATCTTGTATATATATTAAGAATATAATATAAATGGTATGTAAATAATTTTTTCCCAAGTATTCACTGAAGACATATCCTGAAAGGTACTCAAGATAGAAGTAAGAGGGAGAAGTCGGTGAAGAATGGTGAGAATATATAGAATAGATAACGGTTGACCCATGACATGGTTGACCCTAGACAAGGGGTTAAGATTGTAGTTATTGGGGAAATATTCTCTCAGGAGTTTGTTCTACAAAGTGAAATCAATGAAATACTAAGGGGGAATGAGGATAATTCAATTCTGTGGATGTGGCATGGTAGGTTTTAGCTGTAAAGGTCTGAACTGGTGATACTAAAGAATAGAACTCATTTGAACAGTTGTCATGGGAATCTTGATAGGCTTGTGATGTTTCATCTGTGGGTAAGGAGTTGTAGGGTTGAAAATAATTCATCACCCACAGGGCTGCATAAATGATTTTGAACCATATCAAGGCTGGAAAGTGAAGACTGAGCAACTCCAGCCCAAATATATCAGAAGTACTCCATTTTTTCTGGTCTGAGCTGACACTTGTAAAGATAGAGCAGGGCAATTGTTATACTCAAGGTAGAAACAACACATTTTGGCAGGAAATCAAACAGCTGGGGAGGGGGAATTTTATAAAAGTAAATATTATTTACAGTCAGACTAATATCCTCATCTTTGTTGTTCTTATCTGTTGTGCCCATTGGCCTTCATCAGGTGTCTTGTTGATCTGGGTTAACTATAAATATTATTTTCAAAATCTTTTATTCATTAGTAAGAGGACTGGAGATAATTCTGATATAAAAATTATTTATATACATTCTATAAAAGCAGACATATTTGTGAAAATTAATGGTGGGAAAATGTTTTTTTCTCACATTTAAAAAAAACAATTTTGCAATTTAGATTGGAAAAGTTATCTGAAAAAAAAAAACACCATTTAAAAAACACAAAAAATATCTAACAGAAATTAAGTATAAAATTTTTGGTATCTTTAAAAGAAGCGTCCATTTATAGTTTCAGAGAAATAACAAATAAAACAAACAGTAGACACAAACAAAAAAAAATTAGCATAAACAAACAAGACAAGTGGTGAACACTACTCAAACCACAAGTGTGCTGCAGATAGTTTGAGAGTGTGAGAGAGAGTTACCTGCACTTTCAGAGTGAGAGTAAGCGAGAGAGGGATCTCTGTGAAATGGTAGGCGTCTTCATTTAGATTGGCTGACATATTTTCATTTATGCTCATTTGACATAGTTGGTGGCAAGTTCAAGTTTTACGTTTTGGAATCTTTCAAAATATTGTTGACTCTGTGATTGGTTGAAATCGCCAATGGGAAACTCTTGGATATCAAAAGGTGTGTCTTGTCTACTACCAAAACCTTAAGTTAATAGAATAAATCAGAAATAAAGAATTCACAACTGATATAAACAAAATATTTCTGTCATGGAGAAAAAAAAATCAGATAAAAAGCATGTGACTGTATGACTAAATATAAACTTTGTCTGCTGCTTGGCTTTTGTGTCATCATTAGACAGACTCTCAGGGGACATGAGTTCAATTCTTGGAAGAGGCTTTTTTTTTTCGACTTTCAATCCTTGCTGCTTACATAACAACCATAGAATATAAAAAATTGATCTGAAATTAGCAATGAAGAATAGCAACAACGATAAAATGAAAGATGAACTAGTGAAAAAGGAATAATGTCTATTTTGTCTTTTTTTGAAATAAAAGTAAACTGTACGTGCTGAATCAGTTTCCCAAAATGAACACATTTTGATAAAGAATTATTCAATGATTAATGGCCTTTTTTTATCTGTTGGTAATTGTTTTTTATTTTCTAAATATACGATGCAACAATGTGTTCCTTTGATGATGATATACTGCATATATGAGGACAGGTACTTACCTAGCATTGATGTATTGTTGTAACACAAGTGCAATTGTCTTGTCAAAGCACATAATAGGTAAAAAGAGATAAGGTTTAAAATTTAACAAGATTAATCCTTTATATTCAGCTTCTATAAACAGTGTATGCTTGAAAAAAGCATGGTTCACAGTTGTAAGACTTTCTTGTGGAAACAGCAGTTTGATTTGAATCAAGCTACTGCTGCCTCTTAGCAAGTTTACATGTGTACATTCGCCAAAAAAAACCCCTGTCACCATTACAATAAAAAATGGTTAAGAGTTAAGAGCAGGTGAAGACAACAGTTGGATTTTAGTTGCGAGAGGGGAGTTTCCTCTGAACAAATATGCATGTATATGTTTGCAGAAAAGGGCCTCTAGTCTGCATATATTCCAAAAGCAAAAGGTTCAGTTTTAAGAGTTTCTTGTCTAGAGTATATCAATTCTCTTCTTCTATAAAAGAATGAATGAACAAGCAAACCTTTGATCGCTTTACAGTTTGTAGAAGGTGGTACCAAAAATATAGAGGAATTCAAATTACTGTTATCCTTTTGGAAGAGAGTTTTAGGCAAGAATTGATAAATCTGTAGCCTGTTTTGGTTATGAGCAGAATTTTGATCAAGAATTTTTGCATCATAATTTTCAATCTATGTGATTAACAGAGGATAGTTGGATTAAGTTCATTAACACTTTCATTGTAGCATTGTTGCCTGGCTGTACTGGCCCATTTTGGGAAAAATAACAAATTGCCATTTACTGGAGATAAATGATTATAAAAACACTGACAGTGATTTCTCATGGGCACTGCCATTTGGTTTTGATCACATATTCTACAGTACAGACTTTACTTCATCCCCAACTCACCATATAAAAATGTTACAAAACAGATCATATTGTATGCTACTTGTCGAGTGAGTAGCCATGATTAAAAGTAAAATAAATGTATGTCAGCCCAACAGATTTGACAAAGTTTGCAATAAACAATTACAAGAAAAGAACAGGGCAAAAAAATAATATAAAGCAAGCAAACAATATATACAAAGCAAATTAACAGTAATAAGGCAAAAAGTTCAGAAACTAAGAATTAGGGTTGACACACAAGAGCAACTTTGGATGAATGAACACAGCATTCTGACTTCAAGATAAAACAGACCAGGACTGAGTCAGATGACACAGACAAGTGGCCTATTTTATTGGCTAGGAAAACATCCCAGTATGTATTTGTATGCTTCTGCTTATAAATGGAGTGGCAAGTGTTTTGAAATCATTCCTTGTATAAATTGAAAATAATTCCAGGACTTTATTTATTTTGTTTCATTCAAGTCTTTTAAATCTAGAAGCTTCAGTTTATTTTCCCAGGTACAACTTGCATTGTTATTAGTAATGATACTTGGTGTTATATGAACCAAGACCTTTTTTCTTTGTTCCGCTGCTTAACACAGTCATTTCTTGACAGAGTGATAGATTTTGTAGAATGAGTGGTCATGGTTAAATGTAAAATAAATGTAAGAACTGCCCAAGAAACAGATTTGACAAAGTTTGCAATAAACAATTAGAAGAACAGGGCCAAAAAATAATACAAAGCAAGCAAACAATAAATGCAAGACAAATTAACAGTAATAAGATGAAGCAACAGTAATATGGCAAAAAGTTCACAAACTAAGAATTGGAGTTGACACACAAGAGCAAGTTTGGATGAATGAACACAGCATTCTGACTTCAAGATGAGACAGACTGGGACTGAGTCAGATGACACTGAGAACTGGTCTATTTTATTGGCTAGGAAGGAATCCCAGCATGCATTTGTGTGCTTCTGCCTATAAATTGTGATGTTGGGGGTGCAGTCATTCTCAATTAGCATTGAATTCAACACTACTATATTTCTATGTGAGTTTGGAAATAGCATTAAGCACTAGTTAGTTTATAACACAAATGCAAGGGACTAACATTTCATAGTGTCATGAAAATGTATATCTGTGTTAACATGAGGCAATATAAGTTTAGTAAAGACATAACTATATCTACTGCAGTAGAAGTGCTAATGAGAAAAGAGACTGTTTAAAATATCAATGTAAGATTTTTGTTTTTTAATCATCAGTTTCTGGTAAGTAGACATAGATTTGTTGTTTGGACAGTGTTCCTTGGTTGGATAGACTAGTTGAAGTTGATTGCAATAAGTTAAGAGCCAACATATACTGAAACTATCCAAATCAAACACTGAAAGTCATTTGCTCTAGTTTGGTTATGTTAGTCACTTTGATGTGTAGCAAAAAACAAAAAAAAGAAACCTAGTGAACTATATTTCTGTGTGTGACTTATTAATTAAATCTAACAAAAATGTTGCATTTTTTTTTCAAACAAATTTTCACAGATAATGAAAAATTAATATTTGACAATTATTTGGAATGGAAGAGATTGTGGGGTAAGTAAATAAACCACCTTTAGCCATGCCAAAGATGGTCTTTGTCCAAAGAGAAACTAAATAAAAAGAATCACCAAAACCATAAAAACGAAAAACTCTGGGACTAAGGTATTAGGAACAAAATGCGATCACACTCTTGATCCACGATAGACTTGTCAAACAAGCAATTGACCCTATGCTGTGATATGTTTTTTTTTAGGAAGATGGCTTATCGGTATTCACTAAAACTGTTAAAGTCAGGGTAAGTTCACAAAGGTATGCTTCCCAAAGTGGGTGATATTGCTGCCCTCCCTCTAGGGCAGTGGTTCTCAACCGGGGTCTACATGGACCCTAGGGGTCCATGTAATATTTCCGGGGGTCCACAGGCAAAACACAATTGTTGTGTTAATTAAAAATAGTAATAATAATTATTATTATAATTATAGTAGAATATTTTATTTGTATTAAATTAGTTTTCATTTAAAAATAAAGCTTAATCGTATACTATTTCTTTGATAATTAAAACCTTAAAATTTATATTAGTGAAGAATAGAAAATTGTTCTTATGTCCAATAGCTATGAAGGGGTCCACCAAGATAAAAAGAAGGGGAAAGGGGTCCATGGGTAAAAAAAGGTTGAGAACCACTGCTCTAGGGGATGGAGTTTCTAAGGGTGGTGATGAAAGGTCAGGTGGATGATGGATGGCTGGTTGGGGCAATGGAGTAAAACTTGAGAAAAGAGTTTGAAAAGACAAGTTACAAAAAGCTAAAAAAAAAAATGAGCACATTTAATGCCTTAAGTCCCTTGATGAGATCTTCATAATTGGAATGACAAAAAGACAGATATGCAGAAAAATTGGAAAAAATGATTTAGATGAAAAATACTTACTACAAGATTTTATCCAGATGTTCATTGCGTATAATGGCCAATGATACCACCAATGCAACATTAAGTTGCAATACTTGAAGTGTGTTAATTCTTGCATCAATTGCAACCAAGATGGTTTGATGCTTGCTGACTCCTAGAAGCACAAGTGTCAGTGAAATCCTACTTCTGAATACTGAAACGAACAGCACTAACACCATGTGCAGTCGCCAAGAGCTCACTTTAACTTGAAAATGGTGTGCGTAAAATGACTACTGCCCATCCAGGTGCAGACGTGTGCATAAAAAACACCAGACTCAATTTGATGGACATGTTCTATGAGTAGTCACATAGAATCAATCAATGAAAGTGCTAACAAGCAGACTTAAGTGGAGAGGTTAGTCATCTGTGCATTTATTCAATGATCCTGACCCATTGTGCATTGATCCAGCTACTATCTGCACATCTACCTCTGCACTTTCTCTATTCTACATCTCTCTCTGTTTCTGCATTTTCTGGGAGTTGGCATCATAGTTCTTTTCCAAGTCTTTCCAGTTTTCCCTCAGCTAATAAAATTTCTTTCTTATTCTCCTTCACTTCTTTACACTTTAATATAAGTCTAGGATCAGGAGCCAGAGAAAGATCACAGTGAGAAGATATCCAAAGGGCCTGTGCTTACATTTTTTGTGTTCTGCATCTCACCGTTTCTGCATCTCTCTTCCAAGAGCTGGTTACCGACTGTAGGTTCATTTGTTCCTGCCAAAAAAATTCTTAAGCTTCTCTATTTTTGTAGGTCTTGACAATGACAGATGAATGAGTGAAGAAGAAATGTCATCAATATAATGTCAAATATTTGAACTACAGCTTTATTCTATCACATCATGAGCAATTACCATTTTGCCTGATATGTGAGAAGACATTCTCATGAAGCTTTTGAGACTGAACGAACATTTCAAAAAGTTGCCTCCCAATAAAGCCGATTAAGATGTGAACTATTTCAAAGACTTGCATGACAAATGTGGCAAGAACAAAACTACATGATATGTTTGCCCCTACGGCACACAGCAATGACGATGGCCTACACGCTTCTTTCAATGTTGCCAAGGCAGGCAAAGACCATATGATTGGGAAAACTTTGATTGCTCCAGTCATTCGTGAAGTTATGACAACTGCTCTGAAGAAAAATTTTGAACCAGTTATGAAGGCTCTCTCTTTGAGCAATAATAATGGGGTTGGGGGGGTGTTAGGGTTAGGGTTGTGTTTTGCTATGCAAGGGGACAGTAATTTAAAAAAGTTTGGGAAAGGTGATGTAATTACTAAGAAATACGTAGCCAGCCACAGTATCACAAAAAAAAATACAGAATATAATACAACTTAAGATAAAATGTGCTCAATAATTTGAAAAAGAAATTTCCAGATAGAAAATCGACTGTAAATAGGGCTGCAATCTAATCCAGAAATGTTAGAAGCAAAAGAAATTCACAAACAAAAAATATACTCAACTGAAGGAAAACTAAGCCTAAGGTGCAAGAGAGAAAGAAAAAAAAATAAAGAATCTCCCTCAACAAGATAAAAGTGTTCAATAATCAAGAGTAAAAAATTCCAGTTAGAAAAACAACCTAAACAGAGCTGAAATCTGATCAAAAAAAATCAGACACACAAAACTTTGAGTTCAGGATTTACACTATGAAGTGATCCTTAGACAGTTTATATGCATGTGGTTGATATGTAATTCATGTCAGCAAATACCAGTGGACCAAATTGAATTTAGTCTCAATAAGGGACTTTTATACTAAGAGGAGTTAATCTGTGGTGACTCCAATATGTACTGGGCTCACCCTAAGCAATACCAAAGTAGCTTTGCACTCAGTGTTACACCAGAGCATCAAAAGAGCTAGGTACATCAGGAGTTTGACTTGGAAGGTGACCTCATAGCCACCAGTTGCAGAATTGGTCTTCAAAGGATGTCTATTTGCCCCTGACATATAAACAATAGGTTGACCCAGCTGAGCTTAGGCTGTGCACATGTGGGACACTCAGATGACAGGAGGCTATGGGTACTCCAGTTAAAGGGAAAAAGCCAAAGAGTCTCAAACATCAATGTCCAAAAATGTCCCCAAAATGACACTGTCAAGCTGACATTAATTAATAAAGATTTTATACATGAAAAGATTTAATCTTATATTCTTATTTTTCTTTATAATTTTAACATTGCAATAGTAGCAAATAAAATGAAATCTTCATTTAACTGTCCTAACTCTGAGTTTAGTAGAGATCGCATCCACAATCCAGATTGATTGATTCCTTTCTTATGGCTTATCAACCCTTTACAGGTTATTTAAAACTAGAAAAAATTTTTAGATTGTAAGAATTTTTCTTTTGGAGATAATAATGGTTTCGTGATACAAATTTTACAAGTGGGGGGGGGAGAAGGGATAGGTTCATATCTAATCAGAATTTGATAAACAAATGAAATTATAATGTGGATTTAAATTTGAGGATCAATTCTATATTACAATCAATATATAAACTGATCCCTTACTTTGTGACCACAATAGTTTCTATACATTTCTATTCCAGAGTATGTAAATAAATCTAAAAGACATGCATGGGTAACTAATCAGTATTTCACTGACTGATTGATTTGTTTTTTATGCCTTATCAACCCTTTGCAAGTTATTTAAAGCCAGAAGATATTTTTAGATTGTAAGAATGTTTTTTTTTTTCAGATAATAAAGGATTAGTGATACAAGTCTTACTGATTAACCCATAGCTGGGAGAAAGAAGATGTAGATTTATATCTTTCCCCAAAGGGGATTTGCACATAAGTGAATATAATGAACCCAACAGGAATTGGAACTCTGCTCTCTAATTAACAATTCTGAGCCATTATCCATTACAACACTCGCACATCCAAGCTTACAGCACATGGTATTCCCAAGCAGTCACTCATCTACGTACTGACCAGGATTGATGTTGCTTAACTTTGGTGAATGTACAATCCAAAGTTTAGTAAATATAAAATCTTTCTCTTTGATATTTGGTTTGATGTTTGAAAAGTAGGGAAATAAAAATAGCAAATAATATATTTTTCTTTTGTTCTTTTTAGTCAGTATGAAATAAAAAACCTGAAAAGTAGATTTTGTAGTTCACATGTGAAATTATTAAAATAATAATAAAGTTTATAAAGGAAGAGAAAAAAAAATCTAGAGAACTGTTTACTGAAAATATTTATTCCGAAATATCAGCTCAAAGTTATTCAAAGCAAACAACATCTGTAGCTAGATAATATTTTGGGAATGGAAGGTGTGGCTCATGTCAGTCACATGATTAACCAAGAGCCATTGTCATTGGTCCATTGCCCTCTGTACTTACGTGGTCACAACATTAAAGTTTTCTACTTTTTCCAAAAGTGTTTCAGAATATCCCGGAGAGTAGTACCTAAACAAGATAAAAATAAAGTTTAATATTTCAGCTAACACCATTAATTAGTCTTCCTTTCTTATGGTAAGTATCAGGTATATGCATTTGGGGAAACATTAAAAGAATATCACAGGTATTGCTTATTTTTAACACGTTTACTGTTGCAATTTTATAGCATTGTTATTTGGCTGTGGTGGCCTGTTTTGGTAAAAATACAAAATTATCATTTTCTGGACTATAAATGCATTTTCTCATAGGTATCCTCATTTCTTCAGCATGACTGATGCTACACTCCAGGAGAGCAACACACTGTACCTTCTTTCAACTGACTTGAAGTGGAACAACTACATTGAATCAATAGCTGCATCTACTGCAAGGAAAGTTGGGTCACTGTGCAGTGCTAGAAAATTTTTTTCATCAGAGTCCATCTTGCACCTTTACGAATCTACTATTTGTTTGTGCATTGAATACTGCTGCCATATCTGATCTGGTGCTCCTGCTATTCATCTCGAGATTCTAAAAAAAGTCCAAAGAATGATCTGTAATGTAAAAGATACCGACTTGGCATCTCAATTTCAGCCACTTTCTCACAGATGTGATGTGGCTTCCCTTTAGCTTTTCTACAAATATTTTCATGGCATCTGCTCTGACAAGCTTTTCCCCCTAGTGCCCTGAAGACATGAATTTAAGTGTGTCGCTAGATTGACACTTGAGTTCCACCCATTTACTGTTGCTATAGCTAAATGCAACTACCACTTCTACTCCAACAGTTTCTTTTCTCATGTTTCCCACCAATGAAACTCCCTTCCATTTACTTGCTTCCCTGATAACTACAATCTTCAAAAATTTAAATGCAACATCAATTGCCATCTTCTGTCTTCTTGAATCCCATTGATCTTTTGTCCTTTCCTCAATTCTCCCTATACTCAGCCTTTTCTCTCACTTTCACTCCCTGTAACCCACTGTGTACTAGTGGCATTCCTACCTTGCTTCGGGTGTAAAGATTAAAATAAAAATAGAAGAAAAAATTGGGTTTTGGTAGAATTCTCTGCAGTACAGATTAACACACAATATAATATCACAAATCAGGTCATACTGTATGCTATACTGGTTTGGAAATAATACTAAGTGTTAGTTTATAATACAAAGGTTTCGGACTGACATTTCATGGTGTCTTGAAACATAGATATATGCTTACAGTATTCAATGTAACTTTCATAAAGCAAAAATATTTTTAAAAAAAACCTGTCTAGAGAAAACAAAATTATATCCATATCACATAACCTACCCTTGGATGAATCCACTAAGTGGATTCAGACAAGGGTAGGTTATGTGATATGGAAGTGGAAAATGTCACTTACATCATTAGCACTTGTAGGATGCTATTGCTTGTTTAGTGGCATATCAACCTCTTATGGGTCATTTAATGGCAAAATTTAATTTTCTTGAGAGCATTAGTAATTTCTTTTACAAAAATGTATTGTTAGCATTTTTTTTCAAAAATGTATTGCTGGTATTTTTACTATGAAAATGTATTTTTAGACTTTCATAGTGTTTTGACCACAATTTGGGATTTAACTATTTCCCCATAGCTGGGATCCTAACAGATGCGAAACCCACCACCACTACTTCCCCCAGTCAGGGTGGACCTGGGAGTAACAGCAATTGAGAGGTGGTTTCATGCTCTTCAAAAAGCTCTCGATCAGAGGTCTTGCTGCTGGATTTAGTTTATTGTCATACCAGGGATGCGCTTGTAGAATATTTGCTCAGAAAGAATACAAGCATCGCTATGATAAAGTGATCGTCACCATCTGCATTTGTGCCTATGTAGGAAGTATGATCAGAAACTAAAGAAGGTGATTACAAATGATCAAGTTGAGATCTTATGGGATTTCAACATCCAAACAGACCGCATCCTTGAGGCCAGCAAATCAGAAAAAAACCAAACAAGACAAAAAACAAGAAAATTGATGTGACTGTTCATGGTGACCATAATATAAATGTCAGCTGGAAAGCTTAAAAAGTAAACTGACCCCCGGATTAAGATTGCCAGAAGGTGGGACGTTCAGGCCACTATTGTTCCAGTAATCATTGGGGTGTTGCTGTCTCTATCAACAAACATAAAGAAAATCAGAAGAGAGTCTAGAGCAGGGATGTCCAACCCATGGGCTGCACTGCGGCCCACTGTACCCTAAAATATTCAGATATATTTTCATTTACTTTAGTAATGTATGTCAAGAAAATTATTCTCAGATTGTGTTAGTAGGTTCACTTCCACATTGTACTAAAAGGGAAGACGGCAAAGGTCTTTGCTGAGACACATCAGCTGGTGTGTGGGGAAAGAGCCAGAGCTAAATAAGAATTATTTAGCTTATCTAGAAAACTATTATGCCTGTGGGGTAGTACATACTGCTTTGAACAAAACCTTTTGTGCATGAAAAATAAAAAAAAAGCTGAAAAAATAGGTTGAGTAATTGCCATTTAACTAACATTCTTAGAATAAAAACTTGTACTGTAAAAGCAGATATTGACAATATTAGAAAAGGAAAACAGTGTTCAAAATCACATTCAATTTATTCTGTTTTATGTATGCATAGTTTTTTTTTTTTTACTGTCAATTATACAGTATTTTTGTAATTATATATATTTGTTATCAAATTTGATATTCACAACCTTTTACATTTTTTAAAAGCATATAAAGTACTCTTGTGGCTCAGTGAATATACCTAAATTTCTAATTTGGCCCGTTAGGAAAAAAAGTTGGACAACCCTGGTATAGAGTATCCTGTCTGTTCAGAAATCTGTACAGTATGGCTCTGCAAATATTCTGTAAAACATGCAATTAGTTTGGGGTCATACAACTTCATGGAGATCACCCTTAATGAAAAGATCTCCAGTTGAAAATGAAAAAGCATGCAGAAGAAGATAATAATACAATTATTGAGTGATGTTTGGGTACAAATATATAAAAAAAAACAAAACAATATACCCATCAGGAAATGCAGTCTGAAAAGAGCACCCATAGCACACGTATGATGGCTAAATATATGCAATATATGGTGAGCATATAATCTTACAGGTGGGAGCTAATTAATTTCATGTCAGGTAACTCAGTCTGCTCAGAAGGTCTCTGATGGAAGAAATATCTAAATGTGATTACCAGGTCACCTTGATTGTCTCATCTTTTGATCATAAAAATAAACACAACCCTTGCAACACCTGTTTGTGATGCTCCAGTACATCAGCTGCTAGGAGACATGTCTGATTGGTTAAGGTGAAGCAATTGACAAACAAAAATGTGGTACTAAATGGGATTCTTACTGTAGCCCATTTTAATTCACCAAGATAAAACATATCAATGTTAATATACTCACTCAATTAAGATCAGAAGCCATGAGAATGTTGGCTGGTGTTGTAGCAAGGAATGTATTATTATTATTATTTTATTTCCTTTGATTTCTGGTGTGTACACATTTCTTTCGGGGTTCTGCTTAGAGACTTAAGGTTAGAAATGGCATCATAACATTTTCTATTGACCAATTAAAAAAAAACAACAAAAAAAAAAACCCACAAACGTATTTTACATAGATAAAGCCCATTATAAGGTGTGGGCTGTACTTGTGAGAACATTTTTTTGTATTTCTTTAATGCATGGACTTCCAGAATGCCTTCACTTAATCTTTTCCAACCAATCTGAGGGCTCCAACTACAACAGAGATTGTTGATGTTCCCACGTACCACATTTTTGAGATTTCGATTACAAGGTCCTTGTATTTTGATCTTCAGAGATACATTGCAGTCTGCAGAGACTGCCATATCAATAAGGAGGCACTTTTTTTTGTTTGCAGTCTCTAATAACAATGTTTGGGTGGTTAGCTTTGGTTATTATTATTATTACACTCAAAAGTAACGGCCATCCCTTTCTGCACTCAAAAGTAATGTCCATTCCTTTCTACACTCAAAAGTAAAGGTCTTCTCTTTCTGCAATCAAAAGTAATGGCCAATCCTTTCTGCACTCAAGAATAATGGCTATCACTTTCTATACTTAAAAATAATGGTCATCCTTTTCTACAGTGAAAAGTAATGGCCATTCCTTTCTACCCTCAAAAGTAACAGTCATTCCCTTTTATACTCACTTGATGACTTCTTCAGGGTAGCAGTTGTTGATGATGTTGATGTATTCTGAAAGCACGGAGCCAGGCTCAGCTTTGATCTCTTGCACTTTCTTCAGTCCACCACTGGTCATAAACAAACGTCTAGCCTTAGAATCGTTTGGTAGCACTTTACTGAACTGACCTATCACATGCTTCAGGATGTTGGGTGGGGCATCATAGAGGAGTGGCTCCAGGGCCTCAAGGTGAACACACTTTTGTAGGATGTTCTTCAGAGCTTTCTTGCACTGAAAACAGAAATGAAAGACACAAAAGAGTTTTTACAAAGAATTTACAGGAACTAGCCAAGTGATTGCTAAGTGGCCTCAAAGAATGGAAAATGCTTTATTGCAGTTACTTCTATTGATATACGGAAAATAATGAAATTTAACATGTCCAATGCAAGCAGAATTTTGTCAAAAACATTGCTCAATTAGATATTTAGTGCAATAATTATTATTGATAAAAAAAAATCATGATAGTTATTCAAACCAACTAAAAGTTTTGTGATGTTAACACTCCACAGGGATTGTATTATTGACAGAAGTGGAGAAATCAGACAAGTGGAATACCTTTGTATTGACAGTGCATTTCACCTTTGTTAGATAGTTTAGAGTAGAGGTTTAGCCTTTGTTTCCTATTTAGTTTCCAATTTTTTCTAAAATTTTCTCATTCTCTTTCACTCCAAATAAACCATAGTGTCTTAGTGGCATTATTGAAGTGATAAAAAAAGAGTTAAGGTAGGTGTTGTCAAGTCAGAATGCATGATAAATCTGTGTTTGTCTTTTTATTTTTTTTATATTAAAACTATTAATGTATATCTGCTAGGTTGGTGAAACTCATTGTCAATAAAAATGTTTTCCACTCCAATGTCAAGCTTCTTTAATCTTATGGACTTCTATAATTGTTTAGTTTCTATTATTTTGACCTCTTCCCACACATGCTCTGCCAAGCCTGATTTAGGTGTTTTACTTCAGGCAATAACTTTCTGGTAGTCTTCAGGACTGATTTTTAGAGAGCAATTGTTTCCTTTCATTTATTCTCTACTACATTTGGATGTAATGATAGATACAACATAGGCCAAAAGTTAGGGGTCACGCTCTGAATTTCGAAGAATTGCCTAAAAGTTGAAGTTTGCCTACCTTTTTCAAAACTCATTTATTAGCCCACTTCAGGCCAGAGGGATTTTCTTTTCCTGAAAGAAATTTTCTTGTCAGAGTCCATCTTGCATATTTACAAATCTACCATTTGTCTGTGCATTGAATACTGCTGCCATATCTAGTCTTGTCTTCCTGCTATTCAAATTGAGGTGCGTGATAAAATCCAAAGACTTGATCATGACTTGGCATCTCGACTTCAGTCACTTTCTCACTGATTGTGACAGGGGTTCCTTCTGTCTTTTCTACAAATATTTTTATAGCAACTGTTCTGACGAGCTTTTCCCTGGTCCCCCAAAGGCATGAATTTAAACGTGCTACTAGACTGGCATCTAGATCCCGCCAGTTTACTGTTGAAATAGCTAAATGTAACCACCAACTCTACTCCAACAGTTTCTTTTCTCTTTTCACACTTCCCACCTGTGGAACTCCCTTACTTCCCTGATAACTATAATCTTCAAAAATTTAAATGTAATGTCAACTGTCATCTGTCTTCTTGAATCTCATTGATCTTTTATCTTTTCCTCAATCTTCCCTATACTCAATCTTTTCTCTCACTTTCACTCCCTGTAACCCACTGTGTACTAGTGGCATTCTCACCTTGCTTGGGGTGAAATGATTAAAAAAAACATATCTAAAAAAGTGAATGCCATGCACCAGTTTGTTAAATGGTTTCAGCATTCTAGTTTAGTAGGATTTAAATTGTAATGATAGCAATAAATAAATTACTAAATTACAACCCCTATTACTAGACTATGTAGTAACCTGGAACCAAAATAATTAATAATTAATGATAAAAGAAAAATTAAAAGTTAAGCAATAAAAATAATTTAAAATGCAGATATGAATGGTAATTAACAAAAAAAGAAAGACAAAGTTAGATTATAAAATATAGAATATTCCCATGATGCATCAGGACAAGCATCAAAACTTTCTTTCTCTTTGTTTTTGACTGCCAAAGAAGGCAGATATTATTGGGAAAACATGTTTCCACCAATAGATAAGCAAAACTCATTTATTTCTGTATGCATATATCTTCTGAAATGTATACTAAAGCAATTTATTGTTTTTTACTTCTCTGCTTATTTCATTGTATCTCATATATGGTTTTTGTTTGTAATATTGTAATCCCATTGTAGCTCATTATGCCCTTTTTAACCCTAGAAAAATACATATATAAGAAAATAACATTCAGACAACTCCAGCACATCACTTATACATCTACAACAAATTAAACCAAAGAAGGTACGTTTCCCTTACCAGTACAATCTTAACATTTTCAAGTCCGGGGTCAACAGAAACCTATTGCATTTTTCCTTATAATGTGTGCTTACTTCTTCCCTCTCTCTTACAACAATTTCACTCAGCTATCCTCTAATTTGAGTAGCCCTTGGGTCTCGTATTCAGTGGAGTAAAAAACAAAACAAAAATCATTTACTAATTATTAAATCCATTAAACTTTTGGCCTATAATGTATGTGGCCTTTGGTGATGTGTTTCTCTGGTGGATATCTCAAATTTATGAGCAGGTTGCATGAAACTGTTCACCTACAAAAGGGCTTCTACTTAATTTTTTTTAGCTGCCATTCTCATATTGGTAAGGATGTTGTTACTTTAAAAATGGAATCTTCAAGAGTTTTCTTTCTTTTTGGCTGGTATGGATTCTATGTCTTTGATAGGGAGTTATTTGGGTCAATGATTATTTTTAAAGCATCTATTAAAGAAAAAGTAAAAATACTTCTGCTTTTAGTAAGAGGAAATGTAGTGATACCAGTTGTCAGATGATATCTTTTTATGGAGACATCTGAAGGATATTACAGAAATCGTTTTGACAATTATTATCTTGACAAAGAAGGCCAGTTCAGAGAAGAAGACCTCACAAGAACCAGGTCAAATGAACTTAACAAAGAAAGTCAGCTGAGTAGAGCATATTTGACGAATGAAATTTTTAGATGAAAGCTGACAGGACAAAGAACGCTTGTCCTCTATAAGACAGTGGACCCTAGCAGCCTAAAACAGAACCATGAAAAGAAAAGCACATATCAATTAGACTGTTTGCCACCCTCACCTTGCCTCACCCATCCTCATTTTTCTACAGCTGGCCCCTTACAAGAAGGTTGCAATAGAATAAAATTTGCAGACTGTTACACTCTCATCTCATGGTTTTATTTTGCAGGTAATGATCAGACCAAAAAATTATTTTTCTTGTATTAAGCCACAAACATTTGACTGGAAGAAGCTGCACTCTATGAACAAACCTGGTGTCTGGTCTGAGCTGTGACATTACAGAAAGACTGGAGAAAATTTTGATGTAAAATTATTTGGACACTCCACAGAAATGGGGAGATTTGTGAAAATCAACATCATGAAAAATAGTTTACCTGATAACAACAAAAAAAAAAATTGCATTTAAAAATAATCATTAATTAAAAAAAAATTCAACCAAAGTAAAAAAGAAAAAAAATGTTTCTGTTATAAAATTTAGGGAGAAAAAAAAAACACTAAAACAAAAGTTGAACAAGCACAAATAGCAAATGAATGTGAAGTAAACATTTTTTTTTACAAATTGTTTACAATGAAAAGTAAACAATAATTGAACAAGTGCTAAAGAAATTGTTGATTGATTTTGTTTTTTATGGTTTATCTACCTTTTGTAGGTTTCTTAAAGCTACAACATATTTCTGAATTGTATAAGAATAATTTTTCTTCTTTTTTTTTTGCAAGTGAATATTGCATTAACAACTTTTCCAGAAATAAAAATGATTTTTTCAGATACAAATCCTACTATTTAACCCATAGCTTGAGGAAGAAGAGATGGATTTATACCTTTCCTAAGTGTATTTGTGAGTAAGTGAACAAACTTGACTCGAATTCAAACTTAGCTATCCAATTTCTCATTTCAGTGCTGGAGAGAGAGACTTAAGATCTGCAAAATGGCAGGTGACTACTGCTGGGGTTACATCTAACCATCACTTCATTTGTTTGGATTCAGCACAGTGATTAGAGTGCAGCAAATTCATGTCTTTCCTTTTAGGATTTCTCTGGAAACTTTTTGAATATTTTTTTTTTAATCTGAAATTGGTTAAATCTGCATATGCAAGTTAAATCCTCGGACACAATAATAGAAGACAGACACTTTTACCTTGACTTGTAGGTCTTCGGAAGATGCTGGGTTCAGGTACATTTGCAACAGTTTTGGCAGTACATTAGTTTGTGCAATGGCTTTGGCATGTTCTGGAGTGTGACGTCCAATCTGACCAAGTGACCAAGCTGCAGCTGCTTGCATATGATCTTCTTCTTCTTCACACAAGACAATCGCCAACTGTGATGCTCCCTACAAAAAAAAAAGACAACAGTTTGGTAAAAAAGGAGTTTTTCCCACCTTTTAATTATTATGAAGCTAATAGATTATTTAGCATTGGTCAATTTTGAAATATTTTTTTTTTATAGACCTGTTCTATAATCTGTTTAACTTGTTCCGAACCAAAAGACTTTAATGTTTCTACTTTGCCTGTTGTGCATTAAATGGCATTAATTAATGTCCTCCTTGTTGAAATTCACAACTTGTCTTCATTTAGTCCTCTGCTGTGACTAAAACCTCATTTCCAGTGATGCTATTCAGTCTTAGTGGAATCTGAACTGTTTTATTCTTGACCTACACACGTTTTTAATTTCCCGACACATTGAAGGTGTTAAAAATCTGTTGTGTGTGTGTGTGTATATATATATATATATATATATATATATATATATGTATATAAATAAAAAGAAAGAATAGTAAGATATATAATCCAGTGTTCTTATAGATATTTTTATTTTTACAAAATAGTGCTCAATGTAAATTTACAGAGCATTAATAATATAAATTATAGGGTTTTTTTTCGCTATACAGTTCTAACCATGTTTCAAAAATGGAAGCTAAGAGCCCCAAATTTAATTTTGTAATTAAATTAAAAACATTAGTTCCATTTCATCCTCAAGTAAATTTTGGAGTAATGTTTAAAATTACTGGGTTTTAAAGACACAGCTAAAATCATAATTCACGTTTCCAAGGTTACAGATAAATCTACTTCAACTGGACAAGGGGTGTCTGGGTGTTCATTATGTCTATATTTTAATGTATCAGTTACTAGTTACATTTTGGTAGGGGGTAGGGATGTATTTTTCAATGAAATCTAACATCCGTTAAAAGCATGTCGTCTGGATTTTTTTAAAATTTTATTGTTAATGGCAAAAATTCTTACGGCATTTTTTTCCCATTCGTATATTTAAAAATTTTGTGAGGGTGTTTAGGTTAGAATACTTTTTATTTAACTACGATTTGAAATATTTTCACTTTTAATTTTTAATATACTATATTTCTTTTAAGAACAATTAAATGTAATTAGAATCCCTTACAGTATGTAGAATTATTATCACATCAAGTATAAGTATGTAAATTATTAGGTTACAATTTTTTTTTATATTTAAATATTATTTAAGTAATATTTATGACAATGACAGCAAAATTAGCTAATTAATTTCACTGATTTAGTAAACTTTTATTTTTTATATAAACCTAGTAATATATTGTTTCTCTTACAAAGGACATGGGTCATTCAAAAGCTTACATCTTCTAGCATTATTATATATTAATTTCATTTTACTGTATGTGTTTTATTGGATTCTTTTAAGTTCATGTAGTACTAAGAGGGAGGTCTTTAGGTATGGAAATGTTTTATTTAATTACAATTTAAAAGAAGTTAAGGTTAGAATTCATTTTATTTAACTACAATTTTAATTACAACTTTAAAATATTTTCATTGTTAGTTTTAATAGACTATATTTCTTTTAATAGAAGTTAATGTATTAGAATTACTTACAGTAAGTAAAATTATTTTTCCATATTAAGTATATGTATATTACGATTTTTAAAATTTTATATTTAAATATTATTTAAGTAAAATTTTTGGCACTTACGGCAAAAATAGCTAATTCATTTCTCTAAAATGTATATATATTTAAAGATCTGTTGTATCCTTTTTATAGAATGGTTAAGTATTTTTCCTAGGACTGTTGAATAATTTTATAGATGTTTTCTATATTTTTTATGGATCAAGTGTATATTTTATACAACAATGGTATATTTTTAAAGGCCTGTTTGATATTTTTATAGATCTTTCATATATTTTTATAGGTCTAGTCTATAATTTTATACTTTTTTAGGTCTGTTTAATATTTTTGTAAATCTTTTGTATATATTTTATAGGTCTAGCATATAATTTCATAGGACCATAGAGTATTTTTATAGGCCTGCTTGATAATTTTATAGGATTGTTGAATATCTATAGAGATCCTGTGTATATTTTTAGAAAACTATAGTATATAGTTATAGACTTGTTTGATACTTTGATAGCTCTTATATATTTTTATACGTCTTTTTGATGTTTTTATAATGACCGTTGACTATTTTTATAGCTCTTTTATATATATATATATATATTTTATAGGTCTATTGTATATTTTAAGAACTGGAGTATATTTTTTTATAAGAATGTTGAATATTTTTCTCAACCTGTACTCAATGGATTGAACTGCAGCCATTGGGTTGGCCAAAAAGTCTGTTCAGTTTACTAACTAAACTTTCCACTTCATATGCGAATGAACATTTTGCCCAACCCAATATCTATATTCCAATATCTCTGTAGAATTTGGTTGAATAAAGGCCAGAGTTTTGTTAATAGTTGCCATTTATTACAATTCAACCAAACTCTCTATCTCTCTCTCTCCCTATATATATATATATATTCATAAGATTTAAGCTTTTAGAAACAGCAAATATTTTTATATATAGTGCTCAATATTAAAAATAGAGCATTAATAATATTATATGAAAAGATTACTTAACTTTGAAATATCAATTAGTGCCTGAAGAGTGGAAATTTTACCAAGAATCATTGATGTTGGGATAAAATTGATATTCAAAAGTTAAGTAATCTTTGCATTTAATATTATATTACACTGAATTATTGGCTATCTGGATGAATAGAAGAACCAACAAATTAGCCAGGTATGAATCACACCAGGAATATATAAGGATATACATGAAGGGTCAACTAATACTGAACAATTTCAGGATTGATTTGGAACCATCAATAGGTAACCATAATGATGCGTTTCTAGCATCATGGTACCAAAAAATACAAGACTTTTCCAGGAATTTCATGCAGGATACCATACAGTTCTGCCAGGAAAGCATAATGGCAACAACAGCAGAAATCAACCTGCTTGATGAGCAAAAAAAACAAACAAAAAACAAATAGACACAGAGGAATATGCTAACATAAAGAATGTTATAAAAGCTCAGAAAGGACCAAACAGTGAGGGAACTATGAAAAACAAAAATTGAAAAACAATGAAAATTGAAATGGAATATTTCCTCCAAGCAGAAGAACAAAAGAGAAATCAAACCTAATTCAGAAAAAAATGAATGACCATACCACAAGAGAAAACAACACACACCAACCACAACACAACAAATGCAAACACAAAACAAACCCCACACACACTCCAACAGACAACCATCAGCACCACAACCAACAATAATGATACTGACATCATCAACCATAGCTAGAACCTCAAAATGAACACACACACAAAACAAACCATGAACTTATGCGGACAATCTATAAGGTGCCCTACAAAAATGCACAAACTAAAACACAGCAGCCCGCAGACAGAACACATAATCCCACCAAACATTCCAAACCACCCAGATTAACCCCTAGTAGACAATCAACAGCAAACACACTCAACCTTCAAAAAAATGAGGTAAACCCCCAACCAGGACACTTGGAAGAAGGTATAGCATACCTAATAGAGGACATAATGCAAGCTTTCAAGCTTTTACGAAAGAACTTTGTCATGCTTGCAAATACAAACATGACACGTACAGAAGAGTTATAAATCTAGGTAACAGTAAATTCTCACTTGATGCATTCAGGTTATTAGATAAAGCACCAAGCTTTTGCTTTTGTCCCCCAAGGTTTGATAAGGACACCTTGGCAAAAGACATGAAATATTTCTTTAGAAGAATACAGCTAAAAGCCCACTATGGGGACTATAACCACACAGCTTCCATGCTTGAAACATTAAAAGAGAAGGACTCTACATTCACCCCACAAAACACAGGCATGACCAAATAAAAAACAAACAAAAAACGGGGGAGGGTGGGGAAGAACCATTTATTCAAATAGAGAGAATAAAAAAAAAAGGTTGGGTGGGTAGTCAGCCTTCCCTGACAATTCGCTTAGGTGAAACCTTGGTAGGTTTGTCTGGCTCTCTAGGTTTAACAGCAGAACAGTTTTGGGGCAGATGCTGCAAAAAGATGCTTGGGTCCTGCTTGACAGTGGATTTTAGTTTACCTCTCAGCATATGCCTGTCACTCACTCATATCAGTTAGTTCTGGGCCCAATTTTTCTGTTCTTCCAAAAAATGTCCTCCCAAGTCATCTTGGGTCATCCTCTTTCTCTGCTGCACTCACCTATCACCTCACAGACCTGTTTGATAGGCTCCTTGCTGTGTAGTCTATGGTTGCTCAGCAGTGATTCAAGGTCGTCAAGGCCTAGCTTCTCAAGAAGTGAGTTTGACCTGACCTTATCCTCAGTGGACATACCACATATTCAGTGATCAGAAGAAAAATTTCCTTTTAAGAATTCTACCCCCATCCCAGAAAATTCTGGTGTTGGAGGCCTTACATTGTCTACTGTATATATATATATATATATATATATATATATATATTCAAGACATGCTTATACTGTATAGTTACTATAGCTTAATGATTTAAAAAAAGTAAAGCTTATTTTACTTCAATATTTTTAATATAATCTCCCTCCTTGTTAACACTTCTGCTGTTGCAGATGTACATATATGTTCTTATGACATTTTCGTACTGTTGATGTTTTCAAGACATAGTGGTCCTTAGCATTTGTTATAAACTAAACCAAATCAGTGTAGTCATATAGTAATATACAATACAATCTGTTTTGTGATGTACTTTTATTATATTTTGTGTTTATTGTTTGGCATGTTATTCAGCTTAGTCTGTACTGCAGAGTATCTGATCAAAACCAAAATGTTTGCATCCATGAGAAATTGCTGTCAGCCCCTTTATAGTTGTTTATTTCCAGTAAATTGTAATTTACTATTTTTTCCAAAACAGGTCAACACAGCCAGGCAACAATGCAGTAACAATGCAGCAATGAAAGTGTTAAGAATTTTTCATTATTGAAATGACTTAACATGAACTTTTCTTTTGAAAGCAGCACAAAATCAATGTAATACCAATATACTTTGGTTTTCTGACTGGGAGCCTTCACAAAATCCAACCCAGTTTAGAAACAAATAAAGGAGATTTGTGTAGCATTTGTTTCTCATCACTTAATCCTTCTAAAACTTTATCAAATCACCCATATCAAATATTGTCATGATTGGTGCTATCTTTTGGGAAAGTCCAAGACAAAATTCTTGACAGGTTTGAATTTCCTGGTCACTTGCCAAATTCATCTTTTTGACAAAAAGGCGATAAGAAAGACCATCCATGATTGTGATTTCAACTCTGGTCCTATCAAGAGTGTAATGGCGGCCTTTACTGTTAACAAGGAAAAGAAAAGTGAAAGTGATAAAACAAAAAAATGAAGACATGGTTATTCTATTTCCAGTAAATTTCCTATTTTTCACAAAATGGGTCAGCACAGCCAGGCAACAAGGCTATAATAATGCAGCAGTGAAAGTGTTAAACAATGACAAATATTAATTTCTGTAAGTTTACACAGAACTCATTTTCTTATCATGAGAATTATTTCTGATCACTGACCTCCACTTGACTGCCTGTACAAATAACAAGATTCTTCTAATGTTGTGCAAAATACAGTGTTATGAACTTTCGCACTATCCTACCTTTGATACAATGACAGCCATTGCTAAGTTCTCTGCATGAGCAGCAACATAGCCCAGCATCATCACACCTGGAAGTCGTATATTCCCACGGGTTTCTCCAATATAATCCACCACAGCAGCCACGCCTCCTGCATTAACGATCAGCTGTGACAACTTCAAATAGGAAAAGAAAACAGAAAATTTGTAAGCAATAAAAGCAAATTAATTCAAGACAAAAAGGAAATAATGACAACTGTTTCAGTTCATCAAACAAGTGCAATAGAAAAACCTGATTCAGTTTATAGAATGCCTAAACTGGATACAGGTTGGGCATCATCAATCAAGCAATCAATGATCCAGCATTAATTTCCACAAGAGCAATTTCATATTTCCCAGCTTGCTACAACTTGGTAGGGCTATAACTGCTGCATCAGCTGTTTTTGAGCTAAGGCATTTCTACTTGTCTTTTGTTCCTTTTTATTTTAACCTCTACACTCCAGGAGAGCAACACTCTATGCCTTCTTGGCCTCATGTTTTCCACTGACATGAAATGAAACAACCTAATTGAATCAATAGCTGCATCCACTGCAATGTGTCATACCAAAAGATTTTTCTTGTTAAAATCCATCTTGCATATTTACAAATCTACCATTCATCTGTGCATTGAATAACATTGCCATATCTGGTCTGGTGCTTCTGTTGTACATCTAGAGATTCTTGACAAAATCCAAAGAAGGATCTGTTATGTAATCAATCCTAACCAGGCATCTTGACTTCAGTCACTTTCTCACCGATGTGATATGGCTTCCCTCTGTCTTTTCTACAAATATTTTAATGGCAACTGCTCTGATGAGCTTTTTCCCCTAGTGCTTCAAATACATGAATTTTAGCGTGCTACTAGATTGGCATCTAGGTCCCACCCTTTTACTGCTGAAATAGTGAAATGCAACTGCCACTTCTACTCCAACAGTTTCTTTTCTCGTATTTCCCACTTGTGGACCTCCCTTCCATTTCCTTGCTTCCTTGATAAGAATCTTCAAAAATTTAAATGCAATGTCAGTTGCCATCTTTTGTCTTCTTGAACCCTGTTCCTTTTTTGTCCTTTCCTCAATCCTCCCTATAGTTAGTTTTCTCTCTCACTTTCATTCCCTTAACCCTCTGAATACTTGTAGCATTCCCACTTTGCTTGGGGTAAAATGATTACAAAAAAAATAGAAAAGCTTGCTGGTGTTTAACCGCAGTTATGGCTCCAATGAATACAGGTAGGGCTTCTCGGGTGAAGAGCAAACACTATATGTTGTCCATAACAAATAACGTTGAACTTGATTTCCATCTAACTTTTTTTGATCTTTATTAACCAACATGTACTGATTTACTGTGTATTTTAAATGGTAGGATGTGGTTAACTGTTAGTTTAAGCTAATGTAACCATCAGTGAAATGAAATGAAAATGTTCAGTTACTATTTGTTTCTGACTACACCTGTCTGCCAGGGCAGCTAGCCAAACCCTATTCAGATGCCTGCTCAATCTACAGGCTACACCTGTGGATTATACTGCAAATATGCTGAGTGAACCTTAGTAAGAGTTTCTGAGAGAAAGCACATAATCCAGTGATATAATGGAATATGCATACACCTGAGTTCCCCCTCACTGGAATATGATTGGCTGGTGTCCGTCATAAATACAGACGGACGTATAGGTACGACAGAGTTTAAGTCTATGATGACGCCCATTGGACTACGCCATTGGCTATCCTATTGGTCTACACCTATTACCTGTGACTACGACGAACACCAGTTGATTGCTGCTACCGTGTACTACTTGTTTATAGTAGCCAAAACCACTTAGCTACTTCGATCAAATATATCCCTTTCTGGGACATATCATCCAGCGAGGTCAAATTCTTGAACAAGGCCAGTATGCTCAAACCCTCAGTTACAATGACTTACGACTTTGTGCCAACACAAACATTAGTAAAAATAGCAAAATCACATATTTGGCACTCTACAGGTCCAAATAAACTGGATTAGTGATGGTAATCCTGTATCAACAAAAAAGTGTATTGTGAATCTGTATTTGGATAAGATTTCTGATATCAACCAATCGAACTGATTTACTATTACAATACTCTGGCATTTAATCACCGAAAAGAATTACACATCCAAAGATATAAGTAGGATAAGACTGTTCATATGAGCAACTCTGTACTGACCATTTCTCAGAGTTACAGAGCCAAACATCAAAGTAGAAAAAGGCTGTTCATAGAGCAACAATATACTATCTATTCATTGCTTTTCATGGCTTATTCTGCTACACAGGCAATTCTGATGAGTGAAATTAATTCAAAATCTCTGTGGATAGTGTTTCTGAAAGTTGTCAGGTCTCATGATTATACATATAAACATTTAAGTAGAAAAAGTCTGTTCATATGAGCAACTTTGAACTGGTCATTTGCTGCTATTCACTGTTGATCTGTGCTGTTATGCAAACAGTTCCTAAAATAGTGAAATTTACTCACAATGGCCAGTGATAGTCTGTCAACAAGTGGTCAAGTCTCAGGGTTACACAGCCTAGTATGGAAATATAATAATGCTGTTCATATGAGCAATTTTGTACCGGCCATTTGCTGCTTTCCACTGCTAATCCATTCCATTATGCAGGCAGTTCTAAAATAGTAAAATTTACCCACAATGCCTAGGCAAATGGCCAAATCTCAGTGTTCAATGCGTTTGAGTGAAAGGAACAGGATGAAATCTCAGCAATTAATATTCAAACTCCTACCAGATGTGAGGTGGACACACACACACAATTAATACTGGGTGTTGAAATGCCAACTTCTTTCTGTTTATATTTTTCTTTTGAATTTTACTCACTGAGTCCAGATTGTATGATGATTCTGAGTAAATTAAATTAATGTTCCCATTCATGAAGAAGAAACAAATTATGACCCATTGCTAAAGATCCAGGTAAAATGATTGGCTTCCGGTACTGCTCCAGTAAATACCTACCTCTACTTTTATAAGATCCAGATCAGGCCTCACTTTCCAGTCTTGAAAAGCATCTCCAAATCCTTGTTAGAGAAGAATTATTTTCCACCCTCCAACCTTTCTCTCACAGATGGGATGTGGCAAACCCCTCTCTGCTCTATCACTACTTCTATGGAAAGTGCTCAGATGAACTATATTTCTTGGTCCCACCAGGTTTAATCTTCATGTCTCAAACCCGAAATGCTACTTACATTGAAGCAAACCACCCACATTTCCTCTGTATTCCATCAGTGAGCTGTAAGTTCTACTCAAACAGATCCTTCCCACAAACTACTGCACTGTGTGACAAAATCCCAAGAAGATGTTTCCGCAATCATTACAATCTTAATCTGTTCAAGTCTTCCCCTCCTAACCATATAAACTACCCCTTAATGTAACCCACTATTTGGAGTGGCCTCTGAGCCTTGTACAGGGTTAACTTTACTGTAGAATAAAAAAAAAAAGAAGAAAATCCTAGGTTCATAAAAAGTGATCATTTTAATCAAAATCTTTTTCTTTACAAAAGAGAATACAAAACATCCTCACTTTCTGATCAGTGCCTTATTTTTCCTTTCCAGTTTCTATACCTGATTTATTAAGTTTGACATAAGACCATAAATGTTGGGCACCCAATAAGAAATATACTCACTAGACATGGCCTTGCTCTATGGTAGGCAGATGCCTATCATTCTTAATGTACAATGGGATCTTTTTTCCAATTAACTCACCTCGGGTGTGTGTTTGGCAATCTCTCGGATGAGTATGGCAATGTTTTTTTGTACATAACTGTCCTGGTCTTTGAGACAAGCAAGAACAGATGGAAAAATTTCAGCTTCCACCACCATTTCTGCTAGGTCCACAGAATGTTTTGCAATTTGACTCAAAGCTGAAAACACTTGTCGCTGGGAAGAAAAAACAGAACAAAACTTGTCATAAGTAAATGGGAAAAGCTTGGTGGTAGTATGGTGAGTTACCTTTCCTTACAAACAACAGAAGGGACTAAATAAGCCTTAACCTTTAGGCTATAAATTGTCTGACAAATATTTTGTGGATCTCTTCAGACAATGCAAGGACATTTGATTAAGAATTAAAAGATATTGATTGAAAGCTGTTACACTGAAACCAAATGAGGAAACTAATTTTATTGGGACCCAAAATGCATTCCAGGTTCATCAATGAATTGTATTTTTTTTTAAAACTCTTCCCTTTATAAAAGTTGAATGTTTGTTATCCCCACGAAAAACAAAACAAAAAAAAAACACATTTATAGTGAAGGGTTTAATGTAGGGCTCAAGATTAATGTCATCCTAGGAGCAATATAACATTAATTTGGGATGACTGGTTAGGATTTTTGTGATGATGTCAAGGTGATATGTTTTAATTAAAATTATATTTTATTTATTCTAAACACAACTATTTCCTTGAAATAAAGAATTCTTACTTTTTACCAATAGTGGTAGGATTTTAATAAGTAGAATGTGCACACACATATGTGCTAAAAAAAAAATCTTATTAAGCCATTTGGTTTTCTGCTTATCATAAACTAAATAGAAAATATGAGAGAATATGAAGTATGGCATAAGGCCTCAATGGGACCCATACATTTACATTTAGGTTCAATACAAAAATTGTTCAGTTCCATCAACATATTGTCAGAAGAATTATGGTGTACCCACTGTCTACCTTGTTAGTGCAATGGGAGGGATGTGCTGCCAAGGAGGTGGATCTCCAGAAACTCAGCATTCAAGAAAAGAAAAGAATGTCTTTTAGAGAAAACAATGACAAACAGAAAATGGTAACTAATATGCCAACCAGGGCTTGAGATTAACATGCTCCTGGGGATGATAGAATGTTAGATTGTTTAGGTTTTTTGTGATGATGCTTAGGGCATTACAACATTTTTTTAATTAAAAGACCAGTACATTTATTAAAAAAAAAAAGCAACAGATTTCTTAAAATTAAAAGAAAAAGAATTCTTACTTCTCACCAATAGTGATGGGCTTTTAAGAAATTACGCACACACAAAATAAAACTTTAACACTTTTTTAAACTGGTGAATGAAACCTGAATGAAAATTAAAAGGTTGAACGACTTAAATTTAGATTTTTGTATTTTTTATCACTAAATGTGAAAGACTAGGATCTAATTGTAGGAATTAAATTTTGCTTTAATAAAAAAAATCAAGGAAAGTATTTCATTTCAGTTCATTTTTGGTTAAAAAACCTATCATAAACTAAATAGAAAATATGAGAGAATTTAAAGAAAAACATAAATGAACACAGAAAATTCTATTTTATATCCATTCCAAAACCAAGTAATTTCTTAAAATATAAAAAATTCTTATGCAACACAAACAGTGGTGAGCTTTTAATAAATAGATTGCATATGAATGCACACGAAAAAAATGAATAACGCTTAAGTGTTTCTTTTTAACTGGTGAATGAAACCAGAAAAGAAAATGAAGGTTGAAGGAGTTAAATTTAGATCTTTTGTATTATTTATTTATATGTATGAATAAACATGAGGATGTAATTTTGTTTTAATAAATAAAGCAAGAAAATTATATTTTTATGTCTGTTTCTGCTTAAAAACTTTAAAAAAATAATTAACAGACAAAATTTATGTTTATGTTTTCTGATTATCATAAACTGAATTGAAAATACAAATGAGAATTCAAAAAAAGAGAAACAAACACAGAAAATTTAGTTACAACACACGGCAGGTAATTGTAAATTATTTTTTTATGAAAACTTTTTTGATTATGAATATTCTTTACATAGAAAATGAATGCATGGATTATTCATGTTTAAAATGTCAATATTTTAGATTTTGTAATTTATTTTCTAAATATTTTAATAGTGTTTTTATTATGCTACTAACAACTATAAATGATAATAAATTAAAAAAAATTTAAATAAAGAATAAACAATTATATATATATATATATACATACATACATATATATATATATATATATATATATATATATATATATATATATATATATATAAATATAAATAAAAAATTACAAAAATTAATAAAAAGTAATTTATGAATAATCAAGAGTGGTCTCCCCTTGTTTTGTTAGTCTCTTTGATAGAGCTATTTCTGTTTCCTGGGAAACGGTGGTGTAGCTAGAGTGGGGGCAGAGGAAGCGGTCCGCGCAGGTGGGCAGCATTTTTATGAGGTCAACACTTTTGTGTCTATTGTAAGCTATAAGCCTATATAGGCTGTATTGAAATAAAAGTGACTTTAATGGTTGGATATTTTTGACTAACTTAAACTATGGCATATATATTGGCCTATGTACTGTCTATAAATCAACAATTGACAAATGAAATAGTTTTTGAAATCATTCGAGAATTTGCCAACAAAAAAACAAGAAAAGTTACTTTTTAGAAAGTTGTAACTTACATTTCAGAAATAAACATGGTCCTAATTTTTTACACAAAAACAAAAATGTCATATATGGGAAAAATATATGAAAGTAATATTATAATGGTACACTAACTAGTTTTATAACTTTAAGGGTGAGTCACTGTGCAATATGTATTTTTTGTGGGGGTTGGTGGCAGCAAACTCAAGGGCTGTTCCAGGTAGCTATGCCACTGGACAGAAGACCAAATTTTTTTTAATAATTTACTTATTATATCTGCTTCACTGTAAACATTTATATCACTTCTCAGATTAATTGTGGAAAAAAAAAAAAAAAAAAAAAAAAAACAAATTGAGTACTCACTTTGAGTTTAGCATTTGGATTTAAGGTCATCTGTGAGAGGTGAGCAATGGCGCCTGAGTCGACCACCGTTTGAGCCAATTCTGGAGAATGTTTACTTATGTCACTGAGTGCAGAAGCTGCAATGCTTTTCAGTGACACTTCTGGTTCTTGAATGCACATCACGAGCAGAGGCACGGCCCCAGCATCCACTACAGCTTGTGACAGTTCTAAAAGGATAGAAATTTGTATTTTACAATAAAATAAACAAAATATTATTTACATGGTTTACATTCAGACTAATGTCACCATCATTGCTGTAAATATAGCATATTTCAGATTTTATGCTCTCAGGCCTTCTTCACGTGTCTACCAATGCAAGTAACCTTCAGGAAATCTTGAACTGAACTTTCTAATTATTCTACAGGGGTAAATTGTTCTCATTCCACTATGTCTGGAGACATCTTATTTTGGCCTTTAGCATTGCTTAGTTACTGTTCACCCCTTTTTCACTGAGTCTAAATTTGTATGAACCATCCCAGGAATTGAACTCGCAATGAGTATGACATGGGCATGAATTTGATGGCATTAATAGCAGGGTTAATTCCCTGGGTGGCAGCTAGTTTAGGAGAAGGGAAACTCTGAATTCAAAACCAGCCTGAAGAAAAATGGACTCTGTCAGGTTAACTTGCCCTGGAAACACCTCCTGTTGCTATAGCAGTGTAGTACCCCAATGACCTTAATATAGACTCATGACATCAACCAATAGAAAAATATTAATTTATTCAATTCAAATTCTATGGCTGATTTCATTGTTGACTAGCAGAGGTACTCAGACTAATCTGTAAAAATAAAAAACAAACAATTAAACAATGCTTAATTTTATTTGTATTCGTTAATAAAAATGACTAAGGGAAATAATTATGCATTCATTTACTATTTAAAACTGATTTACCTTCCTTACCACATTTTTCCGTAAGAATGGATAATTCCAAGAGAAATGGCTTCTTTGATCTTTCTTGTCCTTCAAAGTTGACCTAAGTGAACTTTACATAAGCAAACAGTGTCAGAGGCTGCAGGTCAAGTTTGGTTGAAATCTAGTCAGTAGCTTCAGAATTAATAGCAAACGAAAATACACTTCACTTTATTTGCATATATTTATAACAATGTTTCAAATGATTTCATGTTCAAATGAGAATAATAAAAAGTAAATATGAGTTACATATTCCTTTCTAAATTTGGACGGCCAAATTATTGATCTAGCAGGAAAAGTGTTGACCAGTCAGCAATATCATTGTTTATATTTGATGTTACTGAGTGTTGGCTTTTTTTATTTTATTATTAGTGCTTTCTTTATTTTTAGTGCATTTTTTTTACATGTGTATGAGGCTATTATACTTGTATTTTCTACAAGGATGTTACGAATGGAGTTTGGTAGGTTTACCTGCATGTTTAAATGGTGTGTTTAAATTTTAATTGCAGTACCTTGTCAGTCGTCTTTAATGAAACTTGTATAAAACAGGGACTGCTGCCCAAATACACAATATATATATATATATAAAGAGAGAGAGAGAGAGAGAGAGAGAGAAAAAGAGAGAGATAGGTGGTAATATTAATGGTTTTAACCAATGATGGAAAATGCAATACCAAAATACAAATGTGTGAAAGAAGCATTTCAAAAACTAAGCAAAGTACTAAGAAATAGGAAAATATTGTTAGAAGCAAAGAAAAGAGTGCTGAATTTCTATTGTGATATCAATTCTCATACAGCCATGAATACTGGTTGGACAGTCTCCTCGTAGATGAACAGAAAACTGGAAACAACAGAAATATATTTCTACAGAAGGATGCTGCAATTTTCATGGCGAGTGCAAGTAATCAACATGAAAGTTTTAAAGAAAATGATAATGAAATGAACACTTATACTCAGAATCAGAAAGAGACAACTGAAATTTCTTAGACACATAATGAGGAAAGAGGAAAGATATGCCCTATGAGAGTTAAGTTTTCCAACTTAACTCTCATAGGGCATATCAATGCTAAGAGAGATAGGGGAAGGCAGTGGGTCACATACCTGATAAGTTTGTGTGAATAGATGGCAGAGCAGAGGGCAGGAGACTTGGCAAAGAGAGGAAACACTGCTGAGGATCACAATATAAGCTGTTTCCTTATGAGGAAACATTCAGCATTCATTAACCAAGCAGTTAGTGCTACTTGATTAATGAGTATTAATGAGTCACTGTGGTATGCAATCCAGATTGATGTGTCTACCTACATTGAGAAAAAGACAATAATGTTTGCTTTTGTGCAATATATTTTCCAAGAGGATATGAATGAGGATATGTTATGTGCATCATTGATGTCAACCAACACCACAACTACAGAACTAGTCAAGTGTTTGGATGATTACATGTCAGGGAAATTAAGAACTCTTTCATATGTTTCTCCTTCTAATATTTCTATTCCTTCAATTGGAATTATCAAGTCTCAATATCTCAAGTCACTAACCACTTTCCATACACTAGTATGATTCAATCAGGGCTACTGTCCTGATACAGTACCTGTTAGGGATGAAACTTGTAATGAAGGAGATTTTTTGATTGTGTCATTCAAACTACTCACTGTTAGTCTGATATAGATATTTTTATATTATATCTTCCCTATCATGTTGGCCATTATATTACTGAAGGACAACTCTACCAAGGCAAGCAGACTTTGTAAATAAAGTGCTCAATATTAAGAAACTGTATAAATAATAAATGAATGAAAAATTTAAAGACTTCTGGCTCACAGATACAAGTCCAGAATTGGAAGGTAAGTCTTTGAACTTTTCATTCATTTATTTACTGTATAATTTCTCATTACTATAAATGTTCTATTCAGTGGATACATTTCCTCGAGTAAATATCTTTGCTTTTTAAAAACAAGAATTGATGTCTATGGTTTCGGTTTTTTTGAGAGTCTTTAATAAAGAGGGTACAGGTTTGACAGGGTTCAAACCTGTATCCTCCTTATGTAAGGGAAACCACTGTAGAGCCCAGCATGCTTTTAAACTGCTCAGCTATGAAAGAGAAAAACCACTTTTGTCTAAAATTTCTAAAAAGTTATAAGAAAGTGGGAAAAAAAAACGATTTTAATTTAACATTTGGAAAAGAGGATGAAAATTTTACCTCCATTATGGGCTGCAATGTATCCAATAGCCCATGCAGCAGACTCCTTGACCTCTGCATCAAATTCCTCCAAACAGATGACAAGGGCATCCAAGGCTCCACAGTCAACTACTGACTGGGCTAGGCTTGGGGAATGTCGAGAGACAGCTCGAAGTACAAAGGCAGCTGATTTTTTGTAAAATCTCTGAAAAGAGAAAATAAATAAAACACATAAACATCCAAATAAAAAAAAATGTTCTTATTCTTCATGTTTGTTTTTACACTATTACAAAGTTAAGTAATTTTTTATAAAATTTGCGATTTTTTCTTTTCATTTTTTCAAAACTATATAAGCATTCAGTAATTCAACCATGTAGAGTGAGCAGCCATGGTTAAATATAAATAAATGAATGTCAGAACTGCCCAACAAACAGATTTGACAAAGTTTGCAATAAACAATTAGAAGAAAAGAACAGGACAAAAAAGTAATACAAAGCAAACAAACTATATATGCAAGTCAAATTAACAGTAATAAGGTGAAGCAACAGTACTATGGCAAAAAGTTCACAAACTGAAAATTGGGATTGACACAGAAGAGCAAGTTTGGATGAATGAACACAGCATTCTGACTTCAAGATGAGACAGACTGGGACTGAGTCAGATGACACCGAGAACTGGCCTATTTTATTGGCTAGGGAGAAATCCCAGCATGCATTTGTGTGCTTCTGCCTATAAATTGGGGAAGGGGGAAGTGTTTTGCAGTCATTCCTAGTGCAGATTGGAACAACAAATCAAAAATTGTGTACATTGGTAATAGTAATATTAGCTGTTTCCCTACAAGGAAACATTTGGCATTTGTTGACCAAGAAGCGAATACTGCTTTCAACTGAAATTTATAAAATCTTTCTCTTAAGATATGAACTCCATCTCACAAGAAAGATACAATATTATGGAGCAATCCAGCACTTTTTTTTAATTTTTTCAGGACATATTGCTATCCCTTAATACTTTTCTTAGTTTCTGAAAGGTATCTTTTGCTATTCTTATGCGCTTTCAGATTTCCATGTCAGACTTTCTGTTAATAAACCTGATAGTTAAATTTCCAGAAGTGATTCAAATTTCCAGAAGTGATTCAAATGGAAAAAATGTTGTTTTCTAATCATCTTTATCATGTTTAAGCAAAAAAAAAATGCATGGGATCTGTAACAATTACTTCAGCAATGTAGACCACTGCTATTTATACATGGCTCTAGACTAGCTTTTTTCACTACCGTCTTGAAAATGACCCCAAAAAACACTCATTAATCATCCCCAAATTATGTTAAACTATTCCAAAATCAAAATGTATTTTTAACAGTGTTCTCATTCATAGTAGTTAGTAGCATCATAAAAATACCATTTAGGAAAGAAATGTTTATTTTGATCAATTTAATTGTTTAATGTTTTGCTGCCACTATTCTGAAATTTATATATTTTTAATTCAAGTAGTACAGGTTGTAATAAAAAGTTTAAAAAGTGCTAAGATATTAAAATTTAAAAATTAGATAAGTAGAAAACAGCTAAATTTTATTGTAATTTTTATAAAAAATTACAACTTCATTTTTATTGAAACACTTTGATTTGTGGTGATAGAGAACTAAATAAATAAAAATAAAACCAAAATTTCACCATCTCTAAAAATAGATGTATAACAAAAATTGTCAGATAAACAAAGCCATAGTTCAACCAACCAATCAGAAAGTTTTTATAACCCAACTAGGATATAAGAAAAAAATAAACAAATAACAAGGAGACCAAAATTTCACCATTTCTAAATATAGTTTGACCAACCAATCAGAAAGCTTTTGCAATCAGGATATGAGCCGTGAGTCAATGAGAAGCAGAGCATCCTTTTTGAAGTGAATCTATAGATGTGTATATAACTAGATAAAAAATCAACCAGAACAAGAGTCGATAAATCAATTTTGCCCATTTTCTGATACCGTGGTCATCATAATATACCCAAAGATGAAATACATTTGCATGACTTGCTGGTAGCCTTAGATGGCTAAACTATCCTTGCTACATTAAAAACAAACATACCTCCCTTTACCACATTATCAAGTGGTGGTTACTACATTTACATACATACATCTATACATATGTATAATATATATTTACTTCCTCTGAGACTTATTCTCTATCTCTCTTATGCACCAAGACTTTTACACTCAAAACTCTTGATACCTCAACCATTATCCTTTGGTGTTATTATATTGTGATATATAAAGATTTTGTATTTTTCAACATTTTGTGCATTTTCTTTTGATCATTACACAAGGCCAATATAGACCCAAATCATTTATGTTGATAAATCGTGGGACGGATGTTGTCATAAATAACTCAACCATATCTGATAACTCTCGTAATCACCATATTTCATACAGAAGTCTTCTTATTAATTAATTTTCATGCTCAGAGTAACTTTTATCAGACTTCAATTATTCATTTTCTATATAGAGAATATTAGTGTATTCAATCTATTCATAATCAAAATCTGTGTTAGGACAGACAATTTAAAATTTATACTTGATGTTTGCCATGTAGCATTATGCGGTAATGAATGACAATATAATTTTTTTAATACACACACACACATATATATATATATATATATATACTAGCTTAAAAACCACCCTATTAGCAGCATTTAAGATACCCCTCCTGTGGAGAGCTCTTGATTGGGCCTTCAGTTTGTTCAAGAGTTTGAGAGGCCTTAAGTCTTTGCATATTTTCAGCATTGGAGGCTCTCCTGGCTGCTTTTTGATCTAGGTTTTCTTTTGTACGGGACTTTCTTTTCCTTGCTGCAGCCTTAGCTCTTTTGATTGCAATCTGATCCTCTGTTGGCAGAGATTTCTTTTTGCGAGGCATACTGCTCTGTAGATCTGACTCCAAAGAGGATTTCCCTGATCACTACAATCTAACCTGTTCAAATATAGGGTTAACTGTTAACTTCCCCTACTGTCCTCACAAATTGCCTCTTAACATAATTCTTTACTTTGAGTGACCCCTGGATCTTGTACAGAGTGAACCTTACTGCAAAAAATAAAAAAAGTTTGCTGATGAGTGCTGAATGGTTGCGATAATCTCAAATAGCACATGATATACTGCATTTTCCCCAATATAGGGTGCACTAATTTGGTAAAAATTACTTTGCTTATCTTTCTGTTACGAATATAAAGTTAGCAAATATAGACATCAAAAAGGCCCCAATATGAGATGTGCACTTTTTAATAATATCGTAATTGAATCTTGTTTTGTCATGATGGTTTTTCGTAGCCTTATTGGTAAAACACACTTTTTACTTTCTCCTCTCCCTTGCTTTTCCCAATTCCTTCTAGTTTGAAATTATTATTTTCTGTTTAATTAATACATTGACTGCCAATGATGAGATAATGCCAACTACAAGTTATCTTGTGCTTGGCATTTTCTGGCAACAACAGCGAGTTTATTTGCACCAATACTTTTAATGTGAAAACAATGTTAAGAGTTCAGTTCAAGCTATAAATCAAAGCATAAAAAAATTTTATTGCCTAAGTTGGCAACTATAAAGTTGGTGTTTTGAAGTCAGATTTCATAATTGACCTGTAGCAGTCAATGTGTCAACTGATTCCAACTACAGAAGAGCCAGGGATCTAGTACAGATACTACACTCTGATCCTAGGCATAATGTTTTTACATGCAAACAAGCAGAAGAATTGTATAGATAGTCATTATTTAAATAACTGATAAACAAGCTCTGCTGGCAAAAAAAATTTGCATTTTCATAATCAGTTTTGTAGGCTTATCAATATTAATTACATTTCTGTCATTAATATTATCTTATAATTACTTGACCTCTTTTAAACTTAAAAAAATGATTTGCTTACATTTTGTTCAGCAAGAGAGTAAACCAGCTGTGGTAGAATATCACCCTTCACAATGGCCTCAGCTAAGTCTTCATTATAGTTTGCAAGTCGACCTAGGGCCAGGGCTGCCGTGTGCTGAATGGTTGGTACAATGTCGAGTAGCAGAGGACGTAGCAAAGACATAACACCTGCATTTTGTAATGTCTCAATATGCTGTGGTCGGCCAGCCAGCTCTGCAACAGTCTGGATGAATTTGGTGCGGTCCCTTTGGTACTGCTCAAAAACTGTAACATTGTTCAGAAAGAATTGCAAATAGAAAAAAAATAAACGTTAACATAAGAAAAACAACTTTTACTCAAATATTTCAAAAGAAAAATATTATATGAAAAAAAAAATGGATTTTTTAATGTATAAAGGTGGTGCTAAAAAGTTCTTGACCTGAAAGAAATTTATTTTTTTAATTTTGAGAAGTGAATCAAGTTGGAAACTTTTCACCACCTCCTCATCCATATATATATATATATATATATATATATATATATATATATATATAGGCTGGTGAAGAAATTTGGGAGATAAAGAAAAAACATCATAAATAATATTGATAATAAGACTAATAATATTTATTGTATATTTTAAAAAAGATTCACACATTCTCAGATTAAACAAGAATTTAGGCATACTCAAAGAATACAATTTCCACTGAAAGCTTTCTATAAAACCTCTACAGTTCTATTTGTAGCAAACAAGTAGCCCTAAACTATTAATGGAAAAAAAAATTAAACAAATTCCCTGGAAAAGAAAGTCCCACTTTATTTTTCATTTTTATTTCTCATCTCGTTAAGAACACAGGCATGTCCCAAAATTCTGATTTTTAAAATCTTTCTCTTCATATTTCCATTTGGTCAAAAGGCCTACTTCTTCTTTATGTGCCATATCCCCTCAAAATGTAGCCGATTATGGCTCCCCACAACTTCCTGTCCCCAAGCAAGTCTTAATAAATTTTGTCTTTCTGTTATTTCTCCTAAACCCTGTTCTGCCATCCATTTACTCAAGCTCACTAAATGTTATGCATTGTTTGCCTTTGTCTCTCTTGCCTGCAATCTTTCCTGCAAGTATCAGATTTTCCAAGCCCCCTTTCCTCATTATGTGACCTACAAACAATAACTGTCTCTTCCTGATGTTAAGCATAAATTTCCTTTTCATTTCCATTTTCTCTAAAATTTCATTGTTACTCACATGTTTGGCCTATGGCATCTTCAGCATCCTTCTGTATAACCACATTTCTGCTGCCTGAAGTCTCTTCTTCATCTTTGAGAAGTTTGCCCAGCACTCACTACTATACAGGAAAATAGATATCATGTAGCAGTTTAGTACTCTTTTCTTTGTTTCTGTTGCTTCATGTATCGTCTTCTTTGAGGAGATTGCCCAGCTCTTACTACTACACAGGAAAATACAGATATCATGTAACAGTTTAGTACTCTTTTCTTTGTTTCTAGTAAATATTTCCTATTTCTTAATACTCTGCTTAGTTTTTGGAATGCATCTTTGGCTATCCGAATATGCCTTTGGACTTCAGTATCACACTTTCCATCCTCTGTTAAAACACTTCCCAGATATTTAAATTTCTGCACTTGTTTGATTCTGGTATTTCTGATTTGCAATTTGCACTTTGGGCTAATCCTTTTCCTAACAACCATGCATTGTCTTCTTGCATTTGATGTTTAATCCCTTTTTCTCATTTTCTTTTGCTACCTTTGGTAGGAGTTTTTGTAGTTTTCTTTCTGTGTCTGCTATCAACAATGTGTTAAGTTTTTTCTTTTAGCAACTATTAGATTACTTTTGATATGGATATACAAGTAGGAAATAAGTCTGATATCTCGCTTTGAGTGACTACTATTCAATATCAGAAGAGTATTATGATATTAATTTAATTTCATATCTCCTGTTCAGTCAGTTTTTGTGTCTTGAAAGCACTGATTTCCAATCCATAGGTACAGGTGTTTGTTAAATATTATAATAGTCTCATTTTGCCTGTTACACTTGCTTTTGGGAGAAGTGTATTTAAAGATGGCCAGATGGTTTATAAAAAAAAAAATTTTGAAGTGATACATTTATCTGTAAAAGTTTCTATGTTTAGAATTGGTGCTAAAAAGAGCTGCCAGAAATAACAGACATTCTGGACTGTTGGTGATGCCTTTTTCAAATTTGAAAAATATATACTCTTTGTATTAATTCTCCAATCTCCAAAGATAGCTTCTTAAAGTTAAGGTCCATTTTGAGCCTCTTTGGATGATATATGAGAAGGGCCAGTGGATAATTTCAGAAAGCATTGAAATTTCCAACTGGGTTGAAAGTGCCAAAGAAGTAAGAAGACAAAGTGACATGAAAATTTTATCCTGAAGGCAGAAAAATAAGATCCACAAGGAAAAGCTATTTTTGACTGTCATCTGTGGATGAGCTGGACTATTTTTACAGAAGTAAATGGAAAAAAGAAGTGAACCAAATGAAACCTGTGAATAGAACTGTGTTCTAAAGAAGAAAAAAAATATTGTTAAAAGTTCTAGTCATGCATATGTGTAAAGCCAAAGCACTTTTCTGGGTTTTTTATCTTTCCATTAGGTGGGTACATCCTTTTTAAAGAGTATTTTCAACCTTATTTAACATTTCTGTATTACGTTCTCAAAGTTTTTCCATTGTTTGAAGATTGTATTGTATATCTTTTTAAGAGCATTTATATATTTTGATATGTTATCTTGCCTTGTTTGTAATAAGGAGCACAAAAGGAAATTTTGGGGGCAGTTTTTTGTGAAAATTATATTTTGTTATATTGTTTCATGTGTATGTAATAAATGTTTGTTCCTTTTGAATTTCACATAGGAGTTTCGAGTCTTCTTTGTTATTTTTTAATATACAGAATAAGAGAGGTGATGTTCACTCTTCTTCAGTTCCATTTCAGAAAAAATTCTTTTTATTCTAGCCATCAAGAACATTTTCAGAATTACAACAAAAAATATTGTATTCATATAATACTGCAATTTTTCTAAAATTTACTCTTAAAATGTTTTTCCTTTCACATTGATCTAAGACAAATTACATTTATATTTTTGTTTTGGTAATGCCTTCACATTTATTAATTATACTAAATTTAATAAAAAATTGTATAGATAACAAATTATGGTCTTAAACTATTATGTAAACTTAAAGAGAATTTATTTTTAAACATAAATACCAAATTCTTGCTTATTACATTGTTGGTCTTTAGGTTTTATTTTTACTTTTTCACTCGCTTTTAAGGGCAGGGGTGGAATTACAGTTTCTATTTTATTCTTTCACCTCAAACGCTAGCATGTATAAATTAAAAAAAAGTTATTTTCTTCTGTTTTAAGCAAAAGGTAAACATTACTTTGAGAACATCTAGTTAAATTAATAATTAAATTTACTAATAGACTTCGAAGCACATCTCTAGGTCAAATATTGGATTTTGAAAAAATTTTTACATTTGTTGTTTACATTTGTTTTGTATATAATGGCAGTTTAATAAGTTTATTTATATACGGAAATTAATTTTTCTTTTAATTTGGATTAGCTTTTTTAGGCTAGTATCTTTCAAATTGAAATGAAATTTAAGTTCAAAGGCAGTATCTAAATTATTTAAACTGTGTTTATGTTTTTAGAAAGTCCGTGATAATCAACATCCTCTTCTTCTTTTTAGTCTTCAGCATTCTGTTACCACTTGCTTTCAGCTGCAAATTTTGTGCAGAAATTGGATCACAGAGCCTTGATATTTCTCCGACTCCTGTTAATGCTAATATCATGTTTCCCACTACGTCTGCACGGTTAAAATTAATTTACAGCCCAAATCTGTATATGTGCTTCGAGCCTATCACATGACATACAACATTATAAATACAAGAAACATTTTCAACTCTTCCTCTTTTGCCTTCTCTCACACACAAATATAGCGTTAGAGAGATTATGTCTGTCCCTTATGGGAAGATGCTATGACATATGTACACATGTACATACGAACATTTCACATCTCTGAACTCATCTTATTCCCTCTTTCAGTTACAAGGACATAAAAAATTATAAACTTCTAAAAGTGAGATTTTCTTCAGCAAAAACATGCTGTCCAAGAGAATACAGCTTTCGCCTGTTGTCAATATTTATCAGCGAGAAATATTCTGGAGCTATAAGTTTCGATTCAACATATTCTCAGATTTCCAGAATTCTCTCATTCATATTCATTTCTCTTTGGTGAACAATTTAGGCGGCAAGTTATTTCAACTTCTTTATGCTAAATTTTATTCAGAAGTTTAAAAACTAAAAACTACATTTTTAGTACCAAATACAACTTTTCGATATTCAAGTGAAGATTACATTGTAGTGGTATTGACGGCATAAATCAACCCACACATTTTTTTACTTTACGAATGTGTAAGAAAACAAAAAGCAAACAAGAGAAAGAACACAAGAAAATAACTTTTCATAACAGATACAATATTTATATTTATAAATGACAACAGTTTTACAATAACTATTAATATGAGTTACTTCCCTTTGACTGGGCTAAAGTTTTTCTACTAAAAAATTTTTTCACCTTAGTTCACAAAAGCTGAATTATCTTGTCGTTCAAAATGTTCACTTTCACTGAAAGAGAGTTTAAAGAATCTTGTAAAGCTGAAAATATGTTGATAAACTTTTAGCTTTAAAGAAGTTGGAGAAGTGAATGTTCCGTTTGTTTTCGTTGCTCGTGTAGTTGAATGTATTGTTCGTACTTATTTTTCGTAAGATTCAATAACGTGATTGAATAGTTTTAAGTTGCAGAAGTTGGTGAGTGAGTTGTTTTGTTGAAATTGTAGATTGAATTTCAGTGAAGTTATTTCATGTTAAAGAACTTGAGATTCTAACTTTGTACTTCGCTGCAGTAATGATACAAGCATCGTGAACTCGTTTAGCAAATGCTCGTCATCGTAAATTCTCACTGACTGGGTTCGCTCGTACCTTCAATTTATGTGTTTTTAATCACGTCATTGAATCCTGAGAGCATTGTTTTTTCGTCAGGTCAAAAACTAGGTTGATGTTATTCGGACGTAGTGGTGAGCAGGTAAATTGTTTTTTTTAATATCTGTTAACCACTCAGAAAGCGCCTTACAAAACTCAGTCTGGAGCCTGATATGTTTTTTGTGTTGCTTATTGAGAACAATGTACGTGAAGATATACGAGATAATTTTAATATTTATTGTCCAATGAGAAGTTCAGGTTTTCAGAAACATGTGTAGTATGAAGAATTGAAGATGTGATCCGCTTTTTGTACGAAAATCGACATTGATGAAAAAGTGGTATCGGACAGCTAAAACATTTTCTCTCAATCAACAAGTTTGTTTTTTTTTAAACTCACCTTACACCGAATTTCACCCTACAAGACCTTGTTATCGAAGAACATTCTTTCCAATGAAACTTACTATTATTTCTTGAACTGAAATTTTTTTTTCTGGCTTTAAGAATTTCAAGTTAACTCCTGCTATATTATTAATTATAAATGCTACACTTCGTAACAATTTGCAACTCAGTTTAAAATAAATTACCTGAGTAAATTCATTCTTCAGTTTTGATATAAAAATGTTTCGTTATTTTTAGATAAAATATCATTGTTTTATATTTTGTCGTTGATGACCTTGTGCCATACCCAAAGTTAAATACTTGTTGAGAAGTTTATTTTCACGCAACCAACACAAATAATAATACCTTCTGATATATTTTTCCTAGTAAGTAATAATAACCTACTTCTCAAGTCTAAAAAAAAAGAAAAATGTTGAATATTTAAAAATAAGATTATTCTTTAATAAGAACTCCACTTCCGTTTGTTATGGAGAGTTTTCTAGAAATTTAAGTTCCAAGTTGGAATAAAATTTCCTCGTCGGAATTTGACAAATGAAGAAAAAAATTAAATAGTGTTTAAAAGTAAATTTATCAACGTTTTTGTAACATTTTAAGAAGAAAGATTGGAGAACATTCTGATAAAAAAGCGCATACAATAACGAATTATATGAAAAAAAGAATTAAAAAAAAGGGAAGAAGTTGTTTGTCTAAAAAAAATTAAAAAATATAAAACAATGCATGTTAAAAAATATTTTTAAAAAACATCTTTATTTTTAAAAATTTAACAAATATCAATTAATTATTGGATTTTAATAAACTTTTTCATATTTGATAAAAGTTTTTAAAGGCAGGTTCCTTTTCTGATAATAATTATTTATTTTACTTATTTTGTCATCATTATTGAGTTTTTACACAAAAAGTCCTAATGAATTGTATTGTAACATAGCAACTCAAATAAGAAGACACATTCTTTAAAAAATGTATTGTAAGTTAAGAAGGGATTCAAATTAAAAAGCATCCAAAATGTTTAAATTTAAAATGATAGCTTATCTTTGACGAAAAAAATTCTATTATTAATATTAACCTCACATATATTCGTTGTTATTTCATCTAAACTTAAAAAAAAGTTTGAGTGTGTGAGAAAATCTTAAACAAATAATAAATCGAATTGTCACTCACATCACTCATTATTGTAAATAAGGCATCATATAAAAAATAAAATACAACTTTTTTTAACAAATTCTTAACTGATAGGCACACAAATTAACATTTGAAAATAAAAATTACCTTGTAAAACTTGTCTTTGACTCATTGTCAAAACTTGCCCAAAATTTACAGCATCACCCGAGTTTAATAACTGTTGTATAGTCGTTCCCTAGCAACGTTATTTACAGCAGTGAAAATAAAGTTACCAATTAATTGGTAAGTATAAATATTTAAATTAACTTTAAAAAAGTCACTAAGTCTGTTATACAAATAGCTTCAATTTTTAATAAATTCCTTAATTATTTTATTATATAACTAAAATAATTTGTTTCTCCGTAGTACCGGAAGTTTGAATCCGTAAAAACAGGAAGTAAAAAAAGCAGAAGCATTACATCATGGCGATGTTTTGCTACGGTCGACCAAATTTGTTACAAGTACCTTTATCGTATGTGCAGGTAAATACCTATATAGTATATTAATTTGCCCAAATACAATTTAACTGTATTAATATTTTCGATATATACAAATATTAAAGGTTATGATCTTAAGTAAAAACCCTGTCTGTTGAAGTAACCACGTGCACCAAAAACAATTAACTTTTTTTTTGGAGGTTATGATCTTTTTACACTGCTTTTCGTTTCCATTTTAATTACACTAGTTTTGAATATTTTGATATAAAAAATGATGTCTTTTATGGAAAATCACTAAGCGAGGTATTAATAAGCTTTCTTAAGTACAAAAATGTTAATTTCCTTGTCTTAATGACCTTCACAAAGGCAAAGATAGATTTCCTTTCATATTTTGTTTTTGAATTTCGTTTTTCTTCCCAGTAAAATACTAATTTACTCACGCATCAAATATATAGCCAAAATTCCCTCGCTAGTTTATGCGTGAGTATCCGATATCTTTAGAGTTCACCAAAACTGCTTGTCGACCCCTCTGCTTCCGGGCGGAGAGGAACTCAGACAAGGCTATGCCTACGGGCAGAGTCTCGTCTGGGGAGGTAGATAGCTACCCAACTCCATGTAAGCGCAGTCTACGGGAAATTTTTGCCCGAGCGTACGCGCTCGGAAAGCCCCACGTTAAAAACCGGCCTTGTGCCAAAGACTTGAGTAAATAATACCTAGTATCCGATATCTATGCTATGCATGAATTATTTTTTAGCACAAAGTCACACGTCATTGTGACAGAGGGTTTGAATGTATTATATTTATCATACCAAAGATGAAGTGCTCTCTCACAGAAACTGTCTACCTCCACAACCACATATTCATGATACCTAAAGTTTAAAATAGGTACCTCCATGAGATCGCTAAAAAAGAGCATAGCATGATGAAAAAGACGCCAAACTTGAAAACAAAATTTTATCATTTATGTTTATATTATTATTAAAAGGAAAGGCCAAACCATTTTCTAATTATTTAAAAAAAATTTTTTCCTTCTTTTTAGAACATTCTAAATTTTGATTTAAAAAAAGACCTTTGTTTCTCAGCGGAACTTGTGAATAACATAAATTTTTAGCACGTTTTTTTTTTTGTATGACAGACATTAATTTGGAAAATCTTGCAAAAGAAATAAAAATAATTGTCGTATGTTAATGAAATTTTCAGAAACTATTCACAAATGATGGCAATTATTATAAATATGTTTTCATTTTTTAAAGTCGTGGCAAAAATATATTTTTTTTTTTATATTTATTACCCAACCACAAACTAATTTTATGAAAACATTAGAAATTCAATAGCATTCAGTTTTAGAGTGATTATATTAATTAAAAGCACAAGGCTTTGAGGAAAGCAAATTGTGTATTTTTTTTTTAATTGGACCCTTCCCCCACCTGAAAATCAGCTCTAAATTTTAACATACAAAACTCAATAAAACAAAGATATTATTTAATAATTTCAAATGCTTTTATTTGCTTTTATGAATATGGACAATATTTTCTGAAAGCAAAAAACTTTTTTGATGAAAAATTGATTTTTAATACAATTATTTATTTCTTTCATTTTAGATTTTTACATTTAAGTTGTTAAAATATAAAATTAGTGAAAGCGGCATGCAGTTTCATAAATGGCGTTATGAAATAGATCTTTTTTACAGTAAATTGTATCGCTTTGACCAATCAGAAGACCTGCACTAATTAAGAAATGTAATGTTGTGTTCATAAAACAGCTGTATTTAAAAAGTATGGAAGGTCAGCAAGAATACAATTGTGTTATTTGCATTGTTCTCTGCTGTTAGGGCCTTTATTTTTGTGAAACACATGTGGAGTAATTAATTTGATTTTTCAATTTCAACTGAGAAGTGTACCTACAAGTATTAGTATCATCTTATGAAATTTATATGATCTTATTTTTATATTAATCTCAGTTATGACATTTTTCCATAAATGAAATATCAAAACTAATGATAAAATGAATGGAAATACAAATAACACAGTAAAATGTAATAAATGTACATAAAATTATAGTGTTTTATGTACACTTCTGATAAAATTTCATAAGGTACCTATAAATTAGATACCTTTCTTACGAAATTTAATCTCACTCTCAACAGTCTTATCTTAATTTTTTTATAATATATTTTCCATAAAGCATTGTAAACATAAAGGTGAAAGCTAAGTACAAAAAAACATTAGAGCACTGAAAGTTTTCCTTAAAAATAATGAGGTAAATAATTTGTTCACTTACATGTAAATAATTGTTATTTCTGTCCTTCCGTATGATAACTTTTCCTCATATAAGCTGTCAATACAAGATGAAATCATCACTCATCACCTGTCAAGTGACATGAAATCCTATGACCTGCTTTGTTCTATTTTTAAACTACATCTTTTCAGTGTAGAAACTATGTAATACTTGTTTCAAATATTTTAAATAAACATAATTTAAAATAAGTTTTGAAAAAATCATAATTGATTTTTAAAAGGATTTGAAACTGAGATTTTCATTTTTTTTTTATAAAATGTAAAAAATCGTTGACATGATTGATTATCTGTCAATTTTGCTGACTCAAAAAAAACAAGATTTTTAACGAAAATTTCGGACATGCTGGGAATGATTAAAAAATGTAAAAAATACCCCCAAAATACTTTGATCTTTCCTCTTAATAATAACAAACATTTAGACAATAAAATTTTGATTTTGTAAAGTTTGGCATGTTTTCCATCATGCTATGCTCTTTTTTAGCAATTTCATGGAGGTACCTAGGTTAAAATGAATTTTTTAAAATGAAAAATCTTAAAGCTTTTATTTTTATTTTAGTTTTAATTTCATGCTGATAAATTTAATGTTTTAGTTCTATTAGGTTTTCTATTTTACAATTCAGAGCTGAATATTGGGTAGATACGTATTTCGATTTACAAAAAAAATCATCAAAGTCTTTTGCTTTTAACTAATATAATCAAAAAATTACAGAAAGTCAAACTTTTGAGCCTTCATAAGTTAAGTGGGGTGGGTAACAGATATAAAAAAATATTTTTACCATGACTTTCTAAAAAGCAAACATTTTTAAAATAATTTCATTTATTTGTAAATAAGTTCTGAAAATTTCACTAAAATCTAACAATCATTTGATTTTTGCAAGAATTTCCAAATTGATGTGTTTTTCTCCACAAAAATGACTCTAAAATTTACTATGCTAATTTATAGTCCATCTGCTGATGTAAGAAAAACAAAATTTTTGTAAAATTTTGAATGTTTTAAAAAGATTAAAAATTTAATTAAATACTCAAAAAATACTTTCCTTTTAATAACAACATAAAAATTTTGATGATAAAAACTTTGTTTTCATTAAGTTTGGAACAGTTTTTCATCACAGTATGCTAATTTTTTAGTGAATTTTGTGGTGGTATCCACTGTAACTAAGATCTACTCACATGGTTACAGTATAAATCATGGAGACCCTGTGGGTATTGAACAAGCACAAATGTGCCTGACCAGGTGTCAGTAATTAACTAGCCTAAAAGTATTTTTTTTATAGGGGAGAGAGTACGAGAAATAGATGATCACTTCTCTTTACTTGATTAAAGTGCAAAGTACAAACAAGACTCAAAACTCTGTAGTAAAACTTGTACAAAATTTACATTTATTATTGATGAAACAGTAATAAACAGAATACAAAATGTTCCTTTTGCATGCCTTATTATTATTATTAAGGCAAGATACTCGGTTTAAAAATTAAAATATGGACTTATATCAATTTTCAAGAAAACTTTCAACAATTGCAAAATCTTTTGAGAAGGTTCAATGCATTTCCTTTCAAAAAAGGCTCAAACAATACATATTCTTTCAAAAAAGTTCTATTAATTTGAAAGTAGAAATTGAGAATGTTGTAGATTCACTAGAGTTGTTGGGATTTTAATAAATTTGTTCTCAAGAGGAGCCACATTATTCCTTAAATAATCCCCAAATAGGCTTGAGACTTGCCTCAAATTTTAATTTGCATGGGAGGAGTTCACCCACCTCATTCGCTAAAATATCCAAAAGTGTATCTTGAAATTTGAAAACCAAATTTTGCGAATAACATACTGTCTGCCTTATATGGCGTCTTTTGTTTGATCCATTCTATAGAAAGTTTAAAAAAACAATTCTACACATTAAATCTATTAGTTATTTATTACTGTCTGGCTTTTTAAAGATTAGTTTGAACACTTCCCTTAAAAGCAAGTGTAATAAACAAATGTATATTGTAATATTTATTTTTTTTATCTTCACTTTTTATTAATCAATTACATTTTTGTTTAATATGATTAAGATTTAAATAAGATAAATCCAATGCTATAAGTAGCTACCCCCAAAAATTTTCTTAAAAAGAGCATACTATGATGAAAAAGGCCCTCAAACTTGGGAAAAAAAAAGTTTTATCATCAAAATGTTTATTATTAAGAAGAAAGACCAGAGTATTTTTTTTATTATTTTTATTAAATTTTTTATAATCTTTCTTGGTTTTTCTTGTGTCAGTGGTTAAAGCAAAGATTACTATAGGGGATTTTAGCATCATTTTTGGCATTAAAAAACACATTGTTTTGGAAATTTGTGTTAGGTTTTAATGAAATTTTCAGGTTTTATTCACAAATGAATGAAATTACTTTTTTTTAATTTTTAG